TGTAGCGTAATGTAATGTAATTAGTGTAGTGTTGTGTTGCGTAGTGTTGTGTAATGTAGTGTTGTGTCGTGTAGTGTTGTGTAATGTAGTGTGGTAGTTGTAGTTGCATGTGCATTTGTAGTTGTAGTGTGCTGCAGTGTAATTAGCGTAGTGCAGTGTAATGTCGTGTAGTTGTACTATGTTGTACTTGTAGCTGTAGATTTGGTGGTGGTGGTGGTGGTAGTAGTAGTAGTAGTAGTATTAGTAGTAATTAGTAGTAATTAGTAGTAATTAGTAGTAGTAGTAGTAGTAGTAGTAGTAGCAGTAGCAGTAGCAGTAGCAGTAGTAGTTGTTGTTGTTGTTGTCGCAGTTGCAGTTGTAGTTGTAGTTGTAGTCGTAGTAGTTGTCTGTCTATCTACCTACCCTAAGCTATCTATCTATCTATCTATCTTTCTTTCTTTCTTTCTATCTGTCTATCTCTATTTATCTGTCTGTCTGTCTGTCTATCTACCCATCTATCTACCTGTCTATCTGCAAGCTTGAAAACGAAGCTACTCTGCGAGACTTCCTCAGTTTTTGAACTTGACAGCATCAAAAACGCAGCAATTCAGCGAGACTTCCTTCAAAAATGGAAAGTTGAGTGCAGAGCTGACGGCCTCGTACCGATGCGTTTTGCGATTTTTCCACTCCACCTGTCTAAAGTACTGCGCCTGCCACGAAAAAGTGATGCCAGGTCATACGAAGTGCTGCACCTGTCACGCAATCCGCACCCGCCGCTTTAGCGAGCCTACTTTTCGACCCCCCGGAGCCACAAATCATTGGAAAAAACACTGTGTTTCGCGACTTTCCTACCTTTTCGCGCACCTGGATCTTCTTTCTTCTGAGACTTTCTCTTTTTTGATCTTCTTTCTTCTTCTCTTCTCTTCGCCGGCTCTTCCCATCTCTGCTTTTCATCTCTCCATATTGTCGGAAGTTTGACTTCTAAATTTCCTTCGAATAGTGATGGAGTGGGATTTAATTGTGGTTAAAAAAGGATAATAATGAGAAATTAATTGGATGTTTTGTGGGAAATTAATGGGATATTACAGTAATGGGCTTTAATGGGAGTTTATAGTGATTCCTGCGATGATTGGATAATGATGGAAACATAACAAGGATTTATGGGATATTCATGGGATTTGATAGTGCTTAAATACTTGTCCACAAGGAGGTATTAATGGCACATTGATCAATAATGGAAACATGATGGTGACTAGCATTATCGTGACATTGTTTTTGCATGATAAAACTACGTTAATAATGGAATGTTGGTATTAACAATGGAATGGTCATGATTATTGGGTAGTATTGGCATATCTGTATATACATATTTTAGCTTCAGATACAGTAATTGTGATATATTCCATTGTACGGAGATATCTGAGATGTATATATATATATATATGTTTTTATACATAACCAAATATTTTCTTTGGTATTTTTGTATGGGATAATCCTTGTTTTAATCGGAATTAGTAATGGGATAATCCTGAGTAATTTTTGGGATTTTGGTGAATTATTTCAGTTCTACTGGGATATTTTTCGGGATAATGGTGATATTTCACTTCCAGGATCTTCCAGGGATGGTTTCTTAAGCAACTGATGGTAGAAACATCTATGGAACATGGTTTTTCGCGGAGGTCCCGGAGAACGGTGCATGTACCCCAATGGGATGAAGGAATTGGATCCGGTGACTGCGGAGCTGCAAACAAAATTGGAGAGACTGGAAGCTTTGGGTTGGAAAACCGATCAACTGCAGAAAGATCTGAGCAGAATGGCTTCTTTGGTTGGATCCAGAACATTGGCTACGCTTGGAGTTCTTGGATCAGCAACTCTTACAAAGTCATTCGCACCTTGGGACGAAGGATCGCAATTGACACGGCTCTGCGAGAACCGTAGCGTCTCAAAGGTTCAGAGACCAGGAGGAAAACCAACAGATACTGGCAGCTCTGAGAAGCAGCAGGTTGAGGGATGCACCGGGTCGCAGCAGAAGCTTTGGTGGAACTGAAAAACAACCTGGAAGAGAACAAAGAAGTGGCGGAGAAAGAGAAAGCCCTCGCGCTCCACAAGACATAAAGACATTGGAATTGAAAAAGGAGGATCAGGAAGCTCAGAAAGTTTGGAAAAGAGAAAACAAAGATTGAAGCGCTATTCACTAACCTTAATAAGTACCCTGAATCGGAGGGGTTTAGATCGGAAACAAATCTCTAACCAACAGTAAGATGATAAAAACGAACAAAACCGAAGGAACATGATTTAATATGACAAAAAAATGGAAAAATGAAAAAAAACAAAGAAAATTGATTTTTATCGTCTAAAACCATATGCACATGGTCATTGTCATAATCCACCAAACGTGTTATTTCTGGTGATTTTTTGAGTTGATTAATCACATCTTTATACTTTTCGGTGTTGTGTGCATTTCTGGTAGGTAACCTCAATAAATCATCTAAAATGTCTCTGTTGATACTTCCATCTTTTCCACCGGTTCCTGATATATAAATAAAGTGTCTTGCCTGTCTTATATCATCCCGATGGGCTTCTGTATGCATTTGTCAATCCGTGTCTGTCTTCTGTTGCTTTTTTGTTGGCTATGTTCCTTTCTTCTTTATACAGTGTTGTATTTTGTCTAAATTGCTCATTAAGATTTCTTGCGAAGTTGTTCATCTTCTCATCTAGGTCTCTTTGTTTCTTGTCCGTGTCGTTCATCAACTCTTCTCTTCCTTGGCGCATTAATTCATCAAATGCTACTCTACCTATTCTTTTTGCGAGTAATCTCATCTCTTCTCTTGTTAATACATTTTCTATTGCTTCACCTCCAAAAATTCTCTGAACAACCTCTCTCCCAAACTGCCTTCCCACCTGTCTCAATGCATTAGTCATTGCTATTCTTCCAACTCCTGCTACAACTCCAATCATTTATTTTTATATTAATGTTTGATAAAAATCATTTCTAATAATAGATATTATCACGAGTCATGAGTAATAGATAAACATATAAAAATATTGTTTGTAGATAGTAAGTATCGCAATGCTCAATCAAAATCTTCATCTGACTTTTCAGTGGAGTTAAACGAAAACTCAGAAACACCAGAGGAAACAAAACTCTATGTAACTGATATTTCTATTCCAGCGGTGTGGAAATCTACAGAGGTGGGCTTCTATGAATATAGTTATGTTGTGGTCTTCAATGGCGATACATTAGTCACACATTTTAGGGTATATTCAGGTAATATTATGGTAAACTGTGATTAAAACATGAAACAATCACAAGAAAGAAATCAAAATGAAAATAAAAAATCTCAAAAAATTCAAAAAAATCAAAAAATATCAAAAAAACAATTTAAACATAGCAAAAAAGTAAATTATGTTTAACAAAAAATCTCAAAAAATCTCAAAAAAAATCAAATCTCAAAAAATCTCAAAAAAGCTCAAAAAAACTCAAAAAATCTCAAAAAATCTCAAAAAATCTCAAAAAATCTCAAAACATCTCAAACTTGATGATAGCATGAAAAAATAAAGCTGCAAAACCCCCCAAAAAATGTTTTTTTTGTTTTTTTCATTTTTTTGATTATATATTGCATGTGATTGTTGAATTTATTGCTGCAGTCATTTGTTTTTCAGGGATTCGCAGGACGCAGCAGCCTCCTTTGCTGAACCCGTTGCCATTGAAGACTACAACATAAATATACTCATAGAATTCCACACCGCTGGAATAGAAATATCAGTTACATAGAGTTTTGTTTCCTCTGGTGTTTCTGAGTTTTCGTTTAACTCCACTGAAAAGTCAGATGAAGATTTTGATTGAGCATTGCGATACTTACTATCTACAAACAATATTTTTATATGTTTATCTATTACTCATGACTCGTGATAATATCTATTATTAGAAATGATTTTTATCAAACATTAATATAAAAATAAATGACTGGAGTTGTAGCAGGAGTTGGAAGAATAGCAATGACTAATGCATTGAGACAGGTGGGAAGGCAGTTTGGGAGAGAGGTTGTTCAGAGAATTTTTGGAGGTGAAGCAATAGAACATGTATTAACAAGAGAAGAGATGAGATTACTCGCAAAAAGAATAGGTAGAGTAGCATTTGATGAATTAATGCGCCAAGGAAGAGAAGAGTTGATGAACGACACGGACAAGAATAAAGAGACCTAGATGAGAAGATGAACAACTTCGCAAGAAATCTTAATGAGCAACTCAAACAAAATACAACACTGTATAAAGAAGAAAGGAACATAGCCAACGAAAAAGCAACAGAAGACAGACACGGATTGACAAATGCATACAGAAGCCCATCGGGATGATATAAGACAGGCAAGACACTTTATTTATATATCAGGAACCGGTGGAAAAGATGGAAGTATCAACAGAGACATTTTAGATGATTTATTGAGGTTACCTACCAGAAATGCACACAACACCGAAAAGTATAAAGATGTGATTAATCAACTCAAAAAATCACCAGAAATAACACGTTTGCTATCACATGTCCCTCAGATAATATATAATCCACATTAATCCACCATTTTTGATCTGTATATACCCATTTGTACCCCAACCAAATAAAAAATGATATAAAATGAAAAAAATGATTAAAACATGCGTTTTAATTTAATGGGATAAAATGCTTAAATATGTGAAAAACTGTTTTTTAATGCGTTTTTAAGTTATTTTGGGTTTATTTATGCGCATGGGGGTTCACAAAGTCTTCTGATCTAAACCCAGCTGATCTAGGGTACTTATTATTTTTGGTGAGCTATAAAAAAAAGATGGGATTCCAATACAGCTGGGATAATTGTGTAATCTGATACTTACCAACATACATAGAATCCATCTGTAACAATACTGGCAGATAATACTTACCAACATTCATACTGACCAGTACATGTACATCTGGTTTTTACAACCGTGGCAATACATGGTAGGAACATCATGGAACGTCTGGATCTCTGATATCTAAGGTATCCGTCATGGCCGTGCCAGGAGCCTTCAGCGGAATGTATGGAACTCGGGGGTCAGACGGTGACTTGGGGTAAAAATATGTTTTGTGCGATATATATATATATAATAATGATAATAAAAATAATCATAATAGCAATAATCATATATAAACATATATGCGTATGGTACTTATGGTTTTTTTCACTTACGCAATTTACGTATGTATATATGCAAATGGATGTGCATGGCATGCTGTAGTATGTCATGCATTGTTTGGTTCACGCACATAGGATATGCATTTCTTGTGATATGTGCATTTTTTTCTCCTTGATGGCTGATGTGGCCCTGACGTCTTTGTTTTACCAAGGTGAACCAAACTGGGTATGGCATCCATGGCATCCATGGCATCCATAGCATCCCAGATTTCCTGGGCTTGACTGCTTGACCTCCGTGGCTTAATCTCATGCTCGTTTTCAGAGCGAACATTTACAATACCATCTGGTTATTTAACATAGCCATGGAAAATGGCCCATTTATAGATGGTTTACCTGGGTTTACCTATTAAAAATTGTTATTTTCCATGGCTATGTTAAATAACCAGATGGTAATTGCTGTTGAATTTTGCTGTTTGAACCCCCATATGTAGAGATCCCTCGTATTCTTCGCGGAGAGAATCTTTTTACCTCAGCATTTCTGTAAATAGAAATGTATAGATATATAAAAATGATTGTTGATCATGATTGTTCAAATCGTGTTTTTCAATAGATACCATGCTATTAAAAAGCAATGCAGCTCCCAATGTGTGTTGATGTTTGTTGGTTACACGCATTGTTCCTCCAGGATTCACATCCTCCAGGATTAGCGGTTCAATCCGTTTTTTATTTGTCAGGCGAATTCTTTGGTTTCACCACGCATTTCATTAGAAAATACACCTATTCTTATGATATCCCCCCTTTAAATAGTCATGGAAATTCACTGATTCTCCCAATTTTTGAACGACTTCCATGTGTCATTTTCCAGGGAAGCGTCTCTGAGGTGGTTACCCGGGGGCACCAGAGGCACGCCACGTGGCGCTGCGAGAGGGTGGCTACTTGCTGGCGCTGCGAGGTGTGGAGATGTTTCGAAGGGAATATATCCATTGGTGCACATATAGTGAATATATGTGAATATAATCTGAATATACGAGGGATTATTAATAGTAAAATGATGTAATTCAATGTAAATAATAGTGTTTTTGTTGATGACATGTACTGGTGAATCGTGATATACTGAATAAGTAGTAACCCATTGGTGCACTACATAGATAGTGCTTATTAGTGATGAATCTAGGATCGCTGGATCACCACCTTGGGGTTTTCATGGGATCAGCTGACCTATCTCCTTGGGATCAGCCACCTGGAGATCTTCGGGATGGGAATTGACCAACATGGATACAGCGGCTGGTTAGGCTAGAATTGCCTCAACATGTTTTTACTATACAGTGGTTAGGAGCGTGCTAAGGACTTTAAGGAGCTAGGGGCATTTGGGCATTTTTTGATTTCATCAAATGGGGAGCCAAGGAGCTACTTGGAGCTTCCCAATGGGGTTTAAGAATGTTTAAGATGACGATCTAAACCTTGGTGGATGGAAACAACTGACCTATGGGAGCTGCATCACCCGCAGAATGGCAAAGCAGGGCACAACCAACGATAGCTGCTACTGTAACATCCCATGAGCCATCCACAGAGATTAAGGGATACGATGTAGCTAATATATACATACTGCTACATAGCCTAGCTACCAAACCCGGATCATTGAAACAGGGTGAGTAATGCATATGAATAAGATTATAAAGATTTTTGGGAACGCACCATTCTACAACCAGAGGTCCATTCTGTCACCTGACATGTCATCTCATGGTCGATGCCAGTCCTATTTATGTCCACTTATATATCATCCCACTTGGTAAGTGGTTAACAAATGTAGAGTTGTAATCCATTTCTAGGTTGGGCAACCACAAAAAATAGAGGGACTTACACCAGGGTTATGAATCTATGAGCCAGTTACTACAAGGTGGTGCCCCCCATTTAGAAGTTGGTGTGTAGACCTCATTAACATTCATTAACTACAATTAGTAGTATCCTCCATCAGCCCAAAAGTTAACCAAATTATGTGCATGAACTTAGCTATAGTATCCCCATTTGTCCCAGTATATCCCTATTATACCACCATGTTTCTTGCTTAAATCCCATGACATCACCATTTGTGTTGCTTGAAAGTCCATGGAAATCACCATTTCTGTTATTCAAATCACTAGTTTCCTATGGTTCTCCTATGGTTTCCTATGTTTTCTTGGCAAAATCCCATTGTTTCTTGGCAAAATCTCATAGAAAACCCAATGACTTGGCGAAAAAACTCTATGCCAGGTGCGGACGAAGGCAACTTCTTACCCGCCATCGCGGGTGTGTGACCTGGCACGGTCGATTCTGCATGGCGAAAAAAAAAGGAGACCCAGCCTGGTTGGTGGTTTGGAGCTTTTTATATTTTTCCATATGTTGGGAACAATAATCAGATTTGACTAGTATTTTTCAGGGGGAGAAACCACCAACCAGCAGCAAACTGAGGTGATTTCACGGTCAAAAGTTGCAAAGACCATCACATTTCTATGGTTTAATCCGCAAAATTGGTTGATGTTGCGTGCTTAAATGTGGTGATTTCATGGCCAACATTTTATGAGGATTAAAGCTGCAAAACATCAAAACGGTCTCATTGCCAGCAGGAAGATTTGACCATCAAAGATGGCCAATATTACCCTTTAGGATGAAAAATCTTGGCTCGCTGGAAACTCCTGAGTGAGCATCCATTTGCAGATGATATTCCATATTCCAGTAGAAATGTGGATCATTGCTTGGTTTGGTTGTGACCGGTGGTTTGGTCTTGGTTCATCTTGTCATTTTCTATTGTTGATTCCACTTACATCCAGCTGCCTCCAAGAAGGTTTCCATGAGTGGAGCATTGCTGTGAGAGAACGAACTTCTGCAAAGATGGCAACCGATATTACGATGCATGATAGTTGGTACATTTCATAGGGGACTATCCCAAATCCCAAGACAAACTTTTGCATTCACTTCTTTGGTATGTATTTGGCTAATTATTAATCATACTATTTGGTTATTAATTAAAATGTGATAGTATTTCCTTGGGTACTAATAGTCTTTTCTTAAAACATACTATTCATAGCCAACTACAAGACACAGATAGGAAGAAACAGCAGATCACCTGTGCTCCACCTCAGATCTCAATCAGTGGGTTGTTGTGAAAATTCACCGTTTATCCTTGCTGGTTGGTGGTTAAGGGTTTAGCCTTAAAACAATGGGTTAATAAAGGTTAATACTAGTAGTGGTTAATGGTCTGGCTGGTGGTGAAACATGGAATTTTATGACCTTCCATATGTTGGGAATGTCATCATCCCAACTGACGGACTCAGATTTTTCAGAGGGGTAGGTATACCACCGACCAGTTATCCTTATCATTTCTGGCTGAGCTAAACCAACAAAAAACCTGTTACTATCTAGCTGGTTTAACTCCCCAAATCCCCGGGGGTTATCTACACATGTTCCCATGTACTTGACCATTGAACATAGATCACCCCCGTTAATAACACCAAGGGGTAAATGATATGTGCAGATGGGTCAAAACTCAAAACCTATTGTTACGGTACTTGGGGGATGAACATCCCTTTACTAGCGATTTGGATGTTCACTTAGTTACTGCTGGTTGGTGGTTTCAAACATTTTTTATTTTCCATTATATATGGGATAGTCCTTCCCATTGACTTTCATACTTTTCAAGATGGTTAAAACCACCAACCAGTCTAGGAATTTAACTGTTTGCAACGTGGAAAATCATCATGAATTTCTGCCCCAAAAGATCCAACTAAATGGGCTAGTTTCCAATCATCCCCATTAAGTCACCATTGTTCTTGGGTATTCCAATCAGAACATATAGTAATCCCAATCACCCCAATGTTCTGAATCCATGTTCTTTTGAAAACTCATTAAATCACTGTGTTCCAACATTTTCCCATGTCATATCCGGAAAAATGACCACTTTCCCCGGGTGAACGTCGGCTCCGCTACCGTTTCACCAGGCCTTTTCGACAAGGCTTGGACCGAACGGGACGGAGTCGCGTGGGATTGGCGGAGTGCATGGTGCTGGCGAGGCAACGGGTGCTGGGGCTGGGTGGCAGGTACATGGAGAGAGAGAGAGAGAGAGAGAGAGATATATATATATATATATAAGTACATATAAAGACGCATATTAATATGCACGGATGCTGTTACTGATGTTGTTTATATAATTATATATGTAGGTGTAATGTACTTATATATATATACACATAGAATATGTATGTATAATTATATAATGTATATCATCGAAATGTAGACATCTAGGTGTATATAGTTGCATATTACTGGTACATACAATTACATTGGATATGTAAATGTCTCGCATAAACAAACAGATACACATATCTGGACTGTGCAAAATGTGGGCTTTGACATCAGCCGACGCCGCGGGTTTGAGAGATAACGTTAACCTGACATGATTCTGAATGGAGCTTATAGCATCAATATAATCATCCTCAGCTAATGCAAACATCAGATCAGCAAATACAATCATCATAATTATAGATTTTTATATTGATATATCATCTATTTATATAGAGGATCATCAGCTAATCTTGTCCCCATCAGTGTGTGCATCGCATGGTTCTCGTGGCCTTTCGTTCGAGATCCCATCGATTGCAACAGTTGCCGTCCGGCTTCACAAGGCCCCTTGGAGAAGAGGGCCAGGAGGACGAAGGTGGAACGTGCGGATGGAACGCAGCCTTGTTTTTTTCAATGGGAAATCCACGAATCTTTGGGGAATCTATTGGGAATTTGTGCGTTTTATTTTTGAGAGTTCAATGGGCAGGCAAATCATTCCAAGATATTGGACTTGTTGATGGGAATATTCTCATCCAACCAAAAGATGAACAATAGATTTGGAAATTCAATGAGCAGTTGGGGATTTGCCTGCTGATTGGTGAAACTTGATGAACGTTGGATTTTTAATCAAACAAACATGGCGTCATAAAACAAACCATAATGTAACCATCAGCATTTTTGTTGAAACACAATCAACAGGGGCATTATAAACCATCCAATTCGGGAGAATCACATGCGATTTTCCCGTATGGATTTCTCCGAAAATGGAATGTAGACGTAGACTTGTCACGTCGATGGCCATGGGAAAGATGATCACAATCCCTTGGAATCGGAAGTGGTCAGAGATGGTCTGACTGTTGGTAACAGCACGTTTGAAGTAGCCTCCAGTACTCAAACGTGGCAATGGAACATCCCCCAACAAATGCAGGTTTAAATGTCTATACAAGTGCGACATATTTAATTGCCACGTTTGATTACCGGAGGGTCCATGCCTTGGATCCACCATGGCTGGTGGTTGATGGGGCTTTTTGAAGTCGGAAGGACCAGGACCAACAGGTTCTTGTTATCGCAAGTCGCAAATATGATTTTTCTAAATACTTGGATAATATAATTATTCCCCTTTTCGTGTGGTTGTTCTTTGTTTTTGACATCAACATAACCAACTTTGTTTTACACCAGTATCGATGAAGCAATGTTGCTGTTCCTGTTTTACACCCCAAAAAAATGTGATTTTGACATGGTCTTGCGAGGCCGCGTGACCTTTCTGCATGAACCTGCCTTGCAAGGCAATGGCAGAGCTGAGGGTCCGGTTGGTGATAGGTAGGTGGTTTTACTGGGCTATTCACGCAAGGTGATACCCCGTCCTGAGCTAAGTTGGTTCTGACTAGATTGGCTTGGGTTTATGGCTAGCATTGGGGGTGCGCCGCATTTCAGCGTGACAGGTGCCTCCGGACATGTTGCACTGATACACCTACACCATGTGCGGGGATGCTGCGATTCTTGTGATCCGGAGCAAATGTTGAAATCTTTAAAGCCCCTTGGTACAGGTATCCTGTGAACATCACAAGGCCTGGGAAGACCATTTCATTGGCAGGAGTGACAAGTCCAAGTGACCATGACTAGAGTTCATCGTGTTTCTTTTTTCTGTCAACCAGTTCAGGTTAGAATGTTTTGGAGCCACCTTCTTTAGAAAGACTAAGAACTAGTCCCTAAGTTCCCTCCGGTGGATATGTTTTTTTTGCACCCGCTTCCCAGTACCAATCTCATATTTTTTGTTCAACTGGGGAAAGTCCAAGACGGGTCATAGTATATAATACTATATCACACAACATTGTGCTATATCATACTATCAACTAACGTGATATGAACAGATCAATATCATACTTCTTTTCCTTGATCTGTTCAGGTTGGTTAGGATTTGAGTTCCTGGAAGGTTGGCTGCCGCTTGGAACAACCTTGGATGTCGGGGGTCCCGGGACATGTGGCCGGTGTGCTCACAAGTTTGGCACTGATCTCTCAGCCGAGGTGGTTTGATTTTGCTTTGTGATGAAATGTTTCTATATAATAGAACCAGGGTTATATGAACACATATGAACACTATTGCCTTGTGTTTAATATAACACTATACAATATCATTTGGAAAGTGTTCAATATGGTGCTGTTGCATTTAACAATCAATTGGAACAAGGGTTGCCGCATTGATTCAAGCACTTTGGGTTTCTGGGAAGATCCCCGCCGCGTGGGGTGAACCCAAACATCTATACGGACAAAACACCGGCGTTCAAAAACCACATCAATATAGGATCCACGTAGCAATGTATAGTTACATATATTTACTACAGTTCATTATTTATTATGTTCTATTATTTGCATCCACAGTAAACCCAAAATGCACAAAATCATGCAAGCCCACTAAAGTCATACAAAGTCATATATGTAGAGCCCACATAAATCCAACTGAAAGTCAGCAAATCTTAAAGAATCCACTCAAATCATATCATATACAGTCATAGAAAGTAAGTCAACATAAATCCACCTATAAAAGTCGTCATAAATCCACCTATAAATGTCCCATAACCTATCTAAGTCATATGTAAGTTATAGACAGTCATACAGAAAGTCATATAAACCATCATGGCGGTCAGTAAAAACCCACAGGTGGTGGTCCTGGCGCGCGTGAGTGACTTCCTGTTGAGCTGCTCGAGGAAAAGAAAGAGAGTTGGAAAGAGTGAAGCAATATGGTAGTTCACCATATATACACATGTGTATTTTGAGAAATATTGGGATATAATTGGATATTTACATATAGTAATATATATATATATATGAAATTAGAGTAAAACTTGGATATAATGGGATATATATATATATATTATATAATACATAACCACAATGAGTCAAAACCCATTGTTACCATATGACTGGAGGAATGATCATCCAGCTATACCGGCTGTAGTTTGATGGGTCATCCCCTATAGAAATGGGTGAACTGATCCCAGAAACACATTTTTAGCAGTGCCCAACCAACTGGGATACTGTAAGTAGAAACGATTCCTTTTTTTCTTGCGAAACATAATGAAAATAACCAGCCAACCAGCAAAAGATGCTATTTTTGTGGACTACCAAAGATTGACCATGATGGTTGGAGCATGTTATCCAGTTCTGAGTTTTTTTTTAAATGATTTATCCGGATTTATCCGGATGCGCCAGAGACCTGCATATTTGGAGATATGCAGAGGTATTTCAAGGATTTTGGGCAAACGAATAAAAATTGTTTAATCTCCGCACACGTGTCTTTCTCTGTTTGGGTTACTTTGTGTCGAAATGCTACTTGTGTTGCTATGACTTCGATAGGGACAGGCAGAGGGCAGCCGCAGTGTGGGATGTTTGGGGCCCGGTGGTGCCAGAGCCATTTCGATGTTCCTATTTTTTGTTTGAAATCCAAGTGCAAAAAGGTGAAGTTTAATCAGTTGAATCTTCATTTCCAAGGTTTGACCCAGAACCACATGTGCCGTGGTCAGACGTTAGATTATACATACCCAATTTGGGGGATGGTCATCAATCCACTCATAGGGGTTTATCATACTGTTTGGATTCCCATTGCCTGCGATGGATTATACCATACTGGCGTTATCTACAACGCATCCCACTAAATCACCAAGTTTATTGGTTTCCCATCAAAGCACCATTTTCGTGGGTTAAATCAGTTAAATCTCATCACATTTTGGTTGGTTCACCGTTAAGCCCTCCCATTCGGAGGTCACCAGCTGCCAAGGTTTCAACGCCGGCACCTGGTTGCGGATCCGAATCAGTTGGGCCGACCTAAGGATGGTTGGCCGACAAACGCCATCCCAAATTTTACCATAAATGAATGGGTGGTATAGACCATCAAGATATGGCTGGTTTATGCTGGTTTATGTATCTATATAAACATCAAACTCAAGATTATCTTATCAATTCGGTAATCATTGTTCATCATCAAACATTAATTATTAGAACAAAAGATGTCCTTACTAAACATCTAAGATGAATCAGTTTTTGCTAATGTATCTTTGTATCGTATAAATGTGTTGAATGAGCTTTCCTTTGACTTTGGACCTCATACTTCGTCGCTCATCCCAGTGTGAATAGGTGAAAAACCCGTGGTTGGCTGGATGATTGGGGCTAATCGTAACACCCGCATCGCCTCAGCTGCCTTTATGTATAGCATGGTGCACCTGCCAACGACCCAGAAATCAACCCATTGAAAATCTTACTTGCAAAAGTTAAAGTATATAAACATGATGCAGTCGCACAACTCCAATTTCCTACACGCATCTGCCGAGGTGAGATAGCCAATGCTTGCGGTAGGCGCATCAAGATTGCCCTTACCAATGGGGATGCGAAGCAACTGATGAGGACTTGATTGATTACAACCACTAACAAGATGATTGTTGACTCGTTGAAACCCAAGAAAAAGGATTTTAATGAGCAGTAACAAGCGTTGGAAGATCCTCGACAAAAATCCAATGAAGCAAAGAAAATGGAGTTTCGGGCTGAAGTGCGCTGTGCGTTTTCGTGACATGAAGCATGGTGAAGCAAACAGATCATGTGAAGAATCACTGGCATTGTGGACTCTGTGGAGATTTTTCTGGTGGTCGTTTGTCCTGGGATGATCCTAATTGACTAGTACTGTTTCCGGGTGAAACCACCAAACGGTTGATGTCAAGATGTTTGAAGTTGCCCTGGCAGAAAAAGGTGCTGGAGAGTCACGTAGTGCGATGAGTATTTTTTTGTGTTAGTGCTGTATCTGGCTTGTGGTTCTAAATTCTTTTAATCGATGTCAGCGCCTGGACTTAGCCGTAGTAAATACTGTAAGTGGCTGCGAACACTGCACACCTTGGGACTTGACGTTTAGTACTTTGGCGCTCTACCTGGTACATAGCAGTACGTACCAAGCACCTCGAATGTCGCGCCCTACACTATGAGACACATGCTTGGGTAACCATTGAAGACGTGGCAAGTCTGAAGTTGTAGTTGAAGTCGTTTGTAAGAAGTACATTGGCCAGTGGTTTCATATATGTAAGATTATGTAATTATAGTATATATTGTCATTTGTTTCATGATAATTATAGTTATATTATATATTGTTATTTGTAATTAAATGTTATATAGTTTTATTGTTATTATAAATTGTTTATATTGTTATTTCTTTCATGATCTTTTCCGGTACCCTTGCTTCCCTTTTGCGATGGGCCTTAACAGCGCAGGTGGCTTGCTACCATCTCTCCAGGCGACAGATAGTTTGGAACTTCCGGAACGAGTTCCGGAAGTTCGTCCCGTGCAAAGGGGTGCCCAGCAAAAGTGTATCGGTATAACAGTATCACATGGTATAACAACAGATATCTTGAAACCAGAAAGCCATAGTAAATATATGTTAGCATACGTTAACGTCCGGAAATTGATGGACACCTGGTTTTAGTATAGAGTTGGTACCACAAGACATGTTCCTGAGATGAGTCCTTAAAATGGAAGCAGGGGAAGGCTGGGAATTGGGACCTGTCATAGGTTCCAGCTGTTGAATCTGCTGAGCCAATGATGATACAATGAATATGTGTTTAACTGTTTTTTTGAAATTATGAAGCCCCCATCGGTAAACCACCAAAACATCGCAAAAGCGTTGAATACGTTTCTTGTTCCTTGGAGAAGTTCAGAAGGGTGGTTTGGTATTGGATCGTTGCATTTTGGGGACTTTTATTTGTGGGTATTTCAACTTAATGGGCAGTTTTGCCGATTGTTTGATGGCATTTTGATGGTTTAAACATCTTCCTTCTGACCCGGACGTTCGCCCACCACCTATCTTCATAAAGGATCAAATCCCACCCACCCCTGCTGAAGAATAACTATATTGAATGGGACAATCCATAAACTCATGTACATACATGTTTACCTATACGTAGACCTATGGAAATACGCAAGCCGTCCACAACCTTGTTGGCTCCAGCGGGAGCGGGAACCATGTCGGAGCCAGCGCAGTCCAAGGCGGATAGGGTAGTAAGGTACCCTCTGGTAAACTGTCCCATAACTAAGGAAAATCACCATTTTTAATGGGTAAATCCACTATAAATGGCCATTTTCAATAGCTGCTTTGACATAACCAGAGGGTAATGGAAATCACATGGTTTGAGGTACATGGCCTACATTGCCCATTTTCCATAGCAAACTCTCGAGAGTTTACCATGTAGAAATGTAGAACTTGGGTTCAGTTGTTTGGTGAACTTTGGGGTACCGCCCCCAAGGTTCAAATGGACCATGATTGCATTGGTTTATGGCACTTGGGCTTGGCTTTGCTTGGATGTAAGCCCAATGCCATAAACCATGCTCAATTGGGGTTTTAAAAGAGGTCATTATAGCCCTATGACTGGGAGGATTTTTGGTGACCTAGCCATGGTTGGATGGTTGGGTTTATATACTGCATTCGGTGCACTTGGAGGAACGTTGGTTCGTAAGCTTTTGGATGATGTTTTTAGTCGTGTGCCTCTTTTGTAGTGCACCTGGAAGAAGGATTCGTGAAGGTGATGATGCTTTCGCACCCCAAGGATTTGCAGACTAGAGGTGTCACAGTGATCTGACGTGGGCATACGTGGGTTGTACCCTACATGAACATCCCCCATTTACCGATGATGTTCCCACAATTTCCATTAATTTACCACTTATTGTGATTGCCATGTGTAGGGGGTTTCCAAACCATGTTTGATGACACCGGAGGGCAGGCCACGCGATGTCATGACAGATCTCTCACTATGAGTGATGTTTTTGAGTTGGGAAACCCATCCAAATTGGCTTTGGCGATGCCCCGAGCTTGGAACTATTTTGCCATAATTTTGATAAACTGGTTGGTGGTTTGGAGCATGCATGGTTTTATTACCCATATGCTCCATGTATTCTCCATGTATGTTATATATGCATATATATATATATATATGCTAACATTGGGGGTATATTGATGATAAATGGTACCATATATACTGGTTGGTGGTTTGGAACATGAATTTTATTTTTCCATATATTGGGAATGTCATTATCCCAACTGACTTTTGATATTTTTCAGAGGGGTAGGTCAACCACCAACCAGAACCAACAAATGTGTGTAGATACAGTGTGTGGGATACCATGGGTAACATTTACCATCAAAATATACCCCAAATGTGAGCATATATAGCAGCACCATGGATCCTATGGGTTAGTGAACTCCCCATAATTTTGATATATAAATGTGTGTAGATACAGTGTGTGTGTAACATCTAAATAGATGTAAAACTTCTCCGTTTTTTATTTTTCTTTCTTCTCTCCTTTTAATAAAGCAGGGGGGCAGTGCACGACTGACAGACACTGCCCAACGAAGACACTATCAGTTCGTGGTGATACAGAGCCTGATCAGCTCTGCGTACCTGCATCCAGTTTTATTTTCTCGTGATGGGCAGTGGCTAACCCAAGAACCATTACGGTTGTCGCAATTGGAAGTTGGGGTGTCGATTTTACACGGTTGTCGCAATCTGAAATTTACCTCGACTATTCCTTCGATGTTTGGCCTTCATACTATTTGATGGCGATTCTGGTCACGATGGACTTTTCGGAGAACTTCAATTATTCGAATACTTCTTAGGTTAATTTGTTTCCCGTCTATTTGCACGTTAAAGGACTCAGTTCCTGATGGATCTCTTCAAAGATCCAATTTTGTCTAGTGTGTGTGTGTTTCATACATACGGAACAAAATTTTCGTCATGCAGAATGATGCGATGCCTGACAGGCGATGTTGATCGATGAGAAGGGCTCCAGCCCACAGGCCTATCGGACATGACTTTTAGGGGGGGATTCTACCATCTGGTTATTTAACATAGCCATGGAAAATCACCATTTTTTATAGGTAAACCATCTATACATGGGCCATTTCCCATGGCTATGTGAAATAGCCAGAGGGCAACTGGATCGAACATGGGAATTGGATGGGACTCCTTTAGTCATAAGGACAAAAATCGGAATTTCCTTTTCACACGACATGTTTTATGTAACTCAACATTCATCGGCAGGTTGGAGATGAAAGGGGCATGTTTTCATGCCCATGATTACTGGTGAAATCTAAGTTCGCACCTGGCCTGCCCACCGTCTATTGCCAAAAGATGCTTAAAACTCATTTCTTTGGGTTTCGTGCCGCCTTTGATAGTCAAATCACCGTGTTCATATTGTAGTGAATTTGTTCATATCTCGGTGAATGTCGAAATTTTCCGTTAGAAACTAAAATATTTCGTTTGATGATGAATCCATCAACAATGGTCGAGCTAATGGTTTAGATCGGTGATTTGGAACGCCGGAAGCCCTTGAATGAAATTATATGTGGCTGATATCCAATGAAACCAACATCAAGTACCTTGATCAGTTTTAGTTTTAATATGTGTTTTTTAAGTACAGTACTATGCAGGCATGGTGAGGTGCGCCTGCACCAGGAGCCCATGTAGTGGGGTATCAACACGCGTAAAAAGGTCGATCCATGTTTCTTAGTGATGGTGGTTTGTTGATTTTACCACTTTGCGTTTGTTGGCGAAACATGGCTTAATGTGGGAGGGATAGTTTCACCATTTGCTTGGCTACAAAGAGTCATACACGATATATATATATATACATACCAAGATTAATTAGCTATCATGTCATCATGTTTAAACGCTATGCAACATTTTCTTTGTAGGTGAATTTGTAGACTCCCTGCAGACTGTCCCTACCAATCCGTTGATCTTGTTATACCTGATATCCCGAGGATATCACCATTGTTGTTGCTTAAATTCCGGCAAAAAAAATTAAACCCGTGAAATCCACCATTGCTTGTTGCTTAGTATCCACCAAATAATTCTGTGTCCCACGAAATTCCATGGTTTTATTACCCATATGCTCCGTGTATGGTATATATGCATATATATGCTAACACTGGGGGTATATTGATGGTAAACGGTACCATCATATATACTGGTTGGTAGTTTGGAACATGTTTATTTTTCCATATATTGGGAATAAATCCCAACTGACTTTTAGTATTTTTCAGAGGGGTAGGTCAACCACTAACCAGAGGGGCAAATGTTGGTAAATATACCATAGGATCCATGTATGCTATATATGGTAACATTTACCGGCAATATACCCCAAATGTTAGCACATATACATATACCATACATCTAGGTAAATTATAACGACCTCACTGTTCTCAATCACTGGAATTATAGTTAGTAAGGGAAATGATCCGCAAGATAGCCTTAATTCAGGTTAGTGAAATATTATAATTTACCATCAATATACCCCAAATGTTAGCATATATGCCATACATTTACCATCAATATACCATCAATATACCATAGGTAAATATACCATACATGGATCCTATGGGTTAGTGAACTCCCCATTTGTTGGTCGGCGAAGTCATGCAGATTGATTTTTGAGGCTCGGCAGGCCATAGAGCAAGCCATGGTCTCCGAGGAGTCCTGGAGTTATGCCTGGGGCCCAGTTCGGGGCCTGTTGAAGCAACGGCCGATGGGTGAAATCCATGGGAAAACCAGGTGGAAATCCGGAAAATGATGGGGAAAATGATGGGAAAATTCGTGTTCGAATGCCAGTTTGGCTTCAAATCGTCTGAGAAATCTGGGTAGATTGTTATTTTTTGGGATTAAGTGGTGATGTCAGGGGGAACCAACTGTACTGTTTATTTGTATCAGGAAATGGTGGTTTTCCCGTTGACCTTCAAAGAATGGCCACGGAATAAGAGGGACATGGTTTCTCCACCGGCAGTAGGGTACATAAGTAAATGGTTGATAGTGGTGTATGGCACCAACCATGATGCTGATGTGTTCGATACATGATTTGGCCAGTTTGATCTTAGGTCCTAGTCCTGGCCCCTAAGGATAACCCCCTAAGGAGTTTCAATTTTTGGGTGAGGAAGTTGTGAGCAAAACGTGTTGAAGGTTTCTTGTCGAGGTGTGCCAATGAACACGCAAGTTCAATTCAAGGTAACTCAAGGTACCGTTGCTGCTTACAGTGCCTACAGCATCAAAACTTCCAATCTTGGTCCATTTCAGAGGTGATTTTGAGCCATGAGGCATGACCTTCACCAACCAAGTGCCCATAGGGGAGAGCCAGAGGGCAAATCCATGTCGAAGTGGCTTTCACGCCCTGAAAACTTGGCATTTTCCAGTGAGGTAAATATTTACAGAGCACAAATGTTGAACCTGCAGGCATCCGCAGGCGCAGCGCAATGCTGAGGTACCTCAGATGGTGTCTTTGCTCACAAAGTCTTTAGCGATCATCCTCTTTCTGTATGCGTCTTGGCTGGGGCAGGGCAGCCATCACTGTATGTGACTGTGGTACCTCGGGCTCCGTGGGCTCCGTGGACGGCGATGATAGAACCAACCAGAGAGATGTGTGAAACAAGAAAATATACCATCAAGATCCATTAGGATATACCTACCATTTATGATCACGTTATATGAACATATTATGAACATATATGAACATAAACATTTTATGAACATATAATCCATTCTACCGCTATACTTTGAAGATCAGCCAGCCATCACGGGGGAAATGTCGGGTTCGCCCTGCTGAGGGTGGCTATGGCTACAACGCCATCTTCCTGAGTAGGACGGGGTCACCATTTCCTCGGTCAATGGTAGCCTGCACGGTTTCTTTTTTTCGATTGGCGATGTTGGAATTCATTGGGTTTAGTAATACCACATGATTAACAATTTTTTTTAGTTTCACTTTGAGCATTGTACCATTTTTTTGGTTGAAACAACAATGAGGTGCTTCACCCTGGACACGCCTGGAAACTGGGCTAGGATACTCATTGCAGCTGGGCGAGATCATTTAGTGACGCCATACGCCATCATGCCGGGCTCTCGGTGCGAAGTTTGGTTATGACATGTTATAACTCCAATCACTAGGGTTTATGATTTATGTATGAGACGTCCTAGCGGTGGTGAGTTCGATTTTTGGGGGATGGAACATGATTGGAATTTTGCTGTAACTGCAACTTAACTTGTTTGAACAGATTCCAATTGCCAATGATTTTCCAACAATTGGTCTAGAATTTCCTGACATGTTTGGACAGGATGCCGAAGATGAAGCCGACTGCACTTCAATTGGCTTCCACGCCTCTCCCAACTCTCATCCTTCGGGGTATGGCTCAGTGTTCAATTTGCTACTGCCAGATGGCAAGGTTATTGTCAGATGTGAGTGCTCGCTAAAACACAACAATGTTGATCCTTGGGAAGATTAAGATATTCTTCTAGGGCCTCACGGGTTGTTTGGTGTACTGGAGAACTCAATCTCCAAAATAATTGAGGTGCAAATATCTATGCACATTGGGTCTTTGGCTGTCATGATTTGTTATGCCCATTCTCTGACAAAATAGAAACTTATATATATATATTTATATTTATATCAAGTTTATATATATTTTTACACGCACATATATGTATATATATATATATACACATGCACATGCATGGCATGAATATTCAACGTGTTTGCACATGTGTGTTGAGCACACACCTACACATGTTTGTATAAATACTTGTTTATATAAATATACACTTGTGTATGTACATTTATATACATATTAATTAGTACGTATATGTGATTGTGTGTGTGCGCACATATATCGATACAATATCGATACATTATATGCACATCTCGAATAAAAGAGAGCACGCACAGACACACACACACAGCTACACCTGATAGATATTCCATGGATTATGGTGGATTATAAATCCTCGTTGTCAACCAACATGACCAACCATCATTACCAACCGCCCAAATCCAGGTTCAACACCTTTTACATCTTGGGTTTGCTTAGCTACATCGCGGGCTGTTTCACTGACCCTGGCGGCATTCCGGTTGCTTGGATCGTTGATGTTGAACTCGGGACTACTGGGACATCAAGGTGTACACACCGAGAATCCACGATGGCAAGCGCTGGGAAGTCCCCGAACTAGAGATGTTGGGAAAATCATCTATACATGGTTGATTTCTCAAAATTCAATCCAGACTTCTCTTCTCAAAATCTCAAGCAGAAGTAAAGTCGCATCACGTCGTTGGTGCGGATCATGTGGATCAAGGAAAGGCCTCCCAACTGGACACAGATGGTGGATGTCGCCGGGTTACAATGCGCCGTATAGAATACAAAGACACACACACAGTTATATATATAGATATGATATATATATATATATGATATATATATATATGTATAGTATATAGGATATATTTGGTATAGATACTGCAAACTGAAAAGTCACAATATGCGCTCATATTATAAGTCAGCACCTCCAATTATATATGATGTATGATCAAAATATGTATACAGAAGCGATGTTGTACAAAACATATCCTGATAAGCATTCCCTCTATGGGATGAATTGTCATACCACATGAACCCCATGTCGCCCCTGCTGCCATGCCTTTCCTACAACTAAAAACCCATCGGCCTGAGGATCGGTGGACGAGCTTCGTGAAGAAATACGATAGAACCTTGGGTTTTGTGCACAGGGGATATTAAACACCTATTGTAGGATTTGTTTTGTTGTGGTATGTAAACAGATATTCAGGATTGGCTGTTAGTGGTAGTTCTAGACAACCACTAACATGGAACCATTCGAAATGACAACGTTTGATTGTTTTTTGATGTCATGTACAGATGAAGAATGTAGTGGGAACACTCATGGGGATATTGACGGGATTTCATAGGCGTGCCTCAACACTGTCAAAACCATCAACGTGTTCAAAAGTTTTGACCCATCAAGGTGCACATGATCTGACATGGCAAACTAGGATGCCGACTATTCACTCCCTGAAGGCATACCAGCATACCTCTATGTTTTGAACTTCCGGTGGTCTTCCCGCAATGTATAAACTTCAGCTATTTCCGGATTCCACAAGTTGTATCCAGTGAAGTATCCGAAGTAAAGTGCTGCCGCTCGTTGAATCCCTTTGGTCGAGGATACCTTCCTGTGGCCAATCCTCGCCAAGAGTGGCAACCGGGGAAGGCCATGTTTATCATCATTTTCCCACTGAAATGGCCATGGCTTTACCATGATTAGCCTCTGGTATACAAAAAGCGAACTGGAAAGTCACCATCTGAAAAAGTTCGGTAAATCAACGAACTAAATGACCAGTTTCAATAGCTATGTAACAAATTACCAGGGGGTATATCTAATTATGGGGGTACCCAGTTTTGACCTGTACCCTAACCCTTTCCTTGGCAAGGATTGGATGCAACCAAATTCTTCCTGGAATTCGATACCAATTTGCAAGTGATTGATGACCCGCTTCATGTACATTACGTCCCAAGATGCCCATGCCAGCTACATGACATGGAGAGGCGCCTTCTGTGCCAGGCCACCTATTGCAAGAAGTGTGACATTATTCGCCCGGAACGTGCGCATCATTGCCATTTCTGCCGCAAGTGCGTCTTGCGACTTGGCCATTGGCACTGTCCACCACTTTTGCGGGCGGTTCTTCCAAAATGCTGAAGGCTTGAGGTTTCACTGTTTGAAACTCAGGCATCGGAAAGATGTAGTTGCGTATGCGATCAAAATATCTATATCAGCAGCGCATGACCAGCACAACATATGCAAAGTCCCCTGACGTGCCACTGAAGCTTCACTGCTGTGAAGTCATGTCCCACGATTACATTGTTTGCCAATCTGTTTTATCATCAACACTTAGCTCCAACAAAAAATATGCTGATGCTATGAAGATGATCTAAATCATTTTCCAGTATTTTGTTTGGTTATTAATCTTTATGAGTTCGGAGCCCTACCTCATGACACGGAGCATAGCGGCGCAACACGCCAAGGAGGATGGATCATCACTGTCCGTGGATGAACAACTGTGCCATGCCCCGCAAGGGCCACACATGTTGTTTCCCAGACCCTCCGGTACCCAGAAAAATGGGGAATGGTCCCAAGTCTGGTACAATACCCAATTGTTCTAAGTACTTGGAGGGTCTAGGTTGGGCTTCGCGGGTTCTAAACTGTTATACATTGAGATCAATTGAGCAATTTTGGGGGGGAAACTCTTTGTGATATCTAGTGAACAATCAATTTTGTAGCAGGGTACTTTTAAACTAGCCATCTTGGCAAGTGCCTGTTTCAAACTGGGCCCAACCAAAGAATGGGAATGGTCAGATGGGAGAAGCACAATCGTTCGGTAGCCCCGACCCCGTGGCAAACCCAGGGATTCGTTCAACATGACTTGGAAGCGGTTGGAAATCCTCAGTTGTTTTCTCTACGAAAGTTTGAAATGAATTCGCAAGAGAAACCATGTCTCTATTGTTGGGACCCTTTAGGTGTATGGGTCTACTATCAATTTTTACTGGTGTTCATGTTCTATGAGCCCACAGTAAAGTTAGCATCATAGCCGCCAGCTCCATTTCATCTGGGTTGCGCCAGGTGTTGGCGTTTTTAACCACAAGTACTTTGCACTACTGGGCATCCTGGCGGGTGGCGTGGTAGGGGCCTGGGCAACATCTAACATGTGCGTAAGTGTGTGACGTATCCCAGAAAATCACCATGACTTAGAAACACGCCTCGGTGAGTTATGGACTATAATTACTACTACTATGGTGGGTAAACATGATTCGTTTGATGTGCAGGGCATGCATACATACATACCCAGTATATGCATACATCCATCCATCCATCCATCCATCCATATATATATATATACATACATACATACATACATACATACATACATACATACATCTTATGAGTACATATTTGTATGTGACGTTTTGTACGAGAGACATGCTAGTATCACATCCTAGTATCACATCCTAGTACCATTTCATTCTTGCTGGTGCTTGTGAAATCGCTACGATGAAATCTCAGCACCAAATGGTGGTTCAACTGGCGCGACTCTGTGCATATGCATAATACAAACGGGGAAAGCAAACCTTGTGACAAAACGCCAAACGTGGCTGATGTTCATTTTTTCATTCTGTGCAGCAAAAAAAAGGTGGTGCCCTCCTAATGTTTCTGGGTTTTTAAATCACAGTATCTACTGGTTGGTGGTTTCAAACATATTTTATTTTTTCATATATTGGGTCATCCCAACTGATTAATTCATATTCTTCAGAGGGGTTGGCTCAACCACCAGTAAGTGATTACCCAAGATTTCAGATTTCATTTGGTTGAAACCACCAATTAGATCTAGTTCGACATGTCTATCGTAAGCCCATGGGGATTCACTGCGGCACGGAAGGATCATTGCACCGGCGCTCAGGTATTTATGCTGGCCTGGCAACGCGGCGTTTTTTACTGGCCGGAGCTAGGAGAAGCATGCTTGACTGGTTGGTTAATAGTGGTTAATAGTCTGGTTGGTGGTTTGGAACATGGCTTTGATGAATTTCCATGTGTTGGGAATAATGATCCCAGCTGACGAACTCATATTTTTCAGAAGAAACCACCAACCAGTTGATGATGATGATGATGATGATGTTGAAAAATAACATAAACCATATTATTTCATTCAAGCAACATCCTTTTCAGGACCCACCCTGACTGGGCACGTTTCCTGATGACGAATCTCCGGAAGACTACATTAACTACTGTTGGAACCGGTGTTCAATTTCTGGGGCCAAGAAGTCGGGAGTTTAACCTGCAAGACCTTCATGGCATTCCACGCGAACTTGCGCTACTTGGTGGTGCGGCTGTGGTATTCCAGTTTTCTCAGGGCGGGAATGGAATCTTCCAAGATCCCTCCTGATAGATGGTTGGGGTATAATTAATGGCTTGTCTCCCCATTCAGCTTTCATACCCAGCTGTGTTCTGGTTTCGTGTGACGTTTGCTGCGGCGCGGGGACTCAGGCAAGCTTGATTGCCCTGGTCACCACCCTTCCAGATATGTTGCAATGTGTCTCCTCGGCTCCTGGGTTCAAAGGATCAGGATCCAAGCTCGCCAAGTTCCTAATTTGTTGTCGGTCTTGGAGCCCCAAGGTGGTGACTCTCCCAATAATAGGGATTTATTGAGGGATTTAACATAGAGAGCCACTAGTGGTTAATAAAAGTTCTTAGTACTCATGTAATATCTATTGTAAAATGGGGGGGAGGTTGGCTGGATGCGCAAGTTCCTGTAGCTTGACAGAAAGGATTCTCCTTGTCCGACTTGGATGATATACGGCACAATTCCCAGCTGTGGCCATGGAGTTGGTTTGGAATAAAACTCTACTTGTTCGTTATGGGCTGGCATGCTTGCCCTTTAGCCGTGATTGATGAAGGTATCCAATTGGTAGATGAATGACATGTTGAAGAAGAGCGTCTGATGTCTATCACACAGCTTGGAAATTGGAGTGCGAACTTGCCCACCATTGCTTCTCAATGCCTCTCCAGTAGCAGTATGTATGACATAGTGTCGCTAATTGACTGCTTTCTGGCAGATGCGCCATGCCACGCAAAACTGCGACATGCGTACATAGATATAACAACATCATGCATTACATATACACATCATCATCATCATCATCATCATCATCATCATCATCATCATCATCATATATATATACACATATATATATATATATATGTATATAATATTTCTATACATACATATATATTTATATACATATATATTTATATACATATATATATATAAATATAAATATATTTATATATACATATGTATATATGTATTTTACATACATACATATATATATATATATATACATATGTATATATACATATATATATATATATATTGGAATGATCATGGTAGCGTTAAGACTCCTAGGGTTTTCTGGTGATTTTTTGGCGGCGACAAACTGGGGAATTTTTTGGTGCGTGATTTGACCTTGATACACGACGCGTGTTTTCTGGTGATTTTTCCGTGGCAACAACCCTTGGCACCTAGACATTGAAATGATCATTGTAGCGTTAAGACTCCACGGGCTTGAAGTGGGAACGGAGCCGGAACGAAGCGGGAGCGGAGCGGGAGCGGAGCGGGAACGAAGCGGGTTCGATGATTTCAATGTTTTTTTCACGGTTTTCCATGGTTTTCTTGCCTGCCGCTTCGCTCCCGCTTCGCTCCCGCTTCACTCCCGCTTTCTTTTTCTCGTGTTTCTTAACGTGTTTTGCATTTTAATCCAGTTTTTTTTATTTTTTTGGATTTTTGAACATTTTTTTGACTTTTTAGATGTTTTTATGTTTTTTTCCCTGGAATTTTTGGTTTGTTTGGAAAGGATAGCAAGTTTTATGAGTAGCCCCGTTAGGAGTAGCCCAGGGTTCTTTCATGAATTTGATCACTCTGTTTTTCTTCATTTCCTTACCCACTGATCTCCTGGTCTGGATCATCTGCTGACAACACCAACTCGTGCCACAATCTGATCGCCTCTTTTGATATTTATAATTTGATGGAATCAAGTCGAGCCATGCTTTGATCACCACTTTTGATAGTATTTTTTGATGAGGTCAAATCCAGCCATGCTCTGATCACCAGGTTTGGTCAGTTCTGACCTGGAAAATCCAAAAGTTAAGCTAACGCTACTACGATGATAGCAATATATATATATATATACATATATATATATATACATATGTATATATATATATATATATATATAAATATATTTGTGCCATAGATCTCGGTTGTTGGACTAGACTCATAAGTTCATTGGCACAATATCCTTCCCCAGTCTCCAGTCCGAAGGTTGTCAGCATGGATTCGCAAGTGACCTTGAGTCCCAGCTTTAGTCGTCATACAGGCGATGGAAATCCACCCCAGGGAGGGAGGTTTCGATGATACAAATGGGATATCCCTGAGTGAATGGGACCATCCCCGTTCCCAAAGTAAATGAGTAAACGATGGCAAATTTTAGTTTTTTTTATCATTTATGATCTAAACAAAGAGGATCTGATCCAACCAAATGTGGTGGTGTTAACTATTTCTCAAATTTCAACACTGTTGGTACAATTGATTTCTGTTTCATACTTGTTCGTGGTTGAAAGCACCACTGCTTGCACGCTCCTAGACGTGATATATATATATATACACACCCTAGCTGCTAGCCAATTTCCTGGTTTCAGGGTTTGTTCTGGCAGACTCGGATTTTTTTTGAGGTCATGATTTTGAAGCTGAGAAACCAATGTAATTCCTGTGTTTATTCAGTTGCTTTTCGCAATTGGGTTGCGAGGCTCAGCAGCAACTCATGACCGGGTTTCCCTTGGTAATTCTGGTAGGATTTACACCTGTGAAGCTTACAATCAATGGGTTGCTTAAAGGCAACATGGTGTTCTTAGATGCATGTCAAATAAGGGGGGGTTCCCTTACCCTTCCATACAACATCCCTGAGCCAACCCAATGATACAAGTTGGAGTTGAGAAAATAGTGTTGTTTTCTGATTTACTCTCATTTTATGGATAGCGCCTTTTGATTCCTCTAGGCTGCCTCAGATCAGTGATAAAGCAAATAAGTGCAACAGTAATTGACATCACAATTCCAGGAGTTGCTTATGGTTTTGCACTGAACATAGGCTAGCCCGACATTCAATGGTTTAGCATAAGTTGGTTGTATATCCCACTTCCATATTGGAAAGACTCAAAGTTGGATGATAAATAATGCTCAGACTCAAGTATCACCCCAAGGATCAGGTTGGTTATATATCCCACTTCCATATTCCCATGATATCTGATATCCCCATGAATTATCTTATCGAGTTACTGATGAAATGCCGCATTCACTTTATGTAACGCTTGGATGATCCATAGCCAACACCGGCTTCCAGGCTACATCTCAGCCGGTGGCAAGGTCCTTGTGCCTTGGTTTTTGTCAGTGGTGTTGCCCCCTTTAGCTAAGCTAGTTATGGATTTCCTGGGAAAAGATCTACATTCATGGTGGGTTTTCCAGAGGTATGTTATTTTACGGGAGGGTAGCTAGTACAACTCGGGGTTACAGGGGATAGGGAACCGACAAACATCCCCGCGTGGCAGCCCCCCACCCTCTCAGGACGCCACGATGACAGTGGAGCAGGCCAAGCAAAAATGCTCCGAGTTGCTTGGGAGCCTCAGTTTTCAGGTCAATGGGAATTCCGGGATCCTAAATTTGAGGTACCTACCCTATAACGCCTATGGAAGGGCTATGTAAGGGAATATCCCCACAAAATATGGCCTTATATGGTACAGTACCTCCATTTTAGGATCCTGAAATTCCCATTGATCAGTGTGCCCGCTGAAAATCCTGAACTGGCCATGGGACATGATGACTGCGAGGTTTGCCAAGGTTTTTTGTGGACCTTATGGTAATTACGCACTATAGGTAGAAGGGGTTGTAAACTAACTTATGACTCAGGGGCACCAGATGGGGACAGATACTAGAGACATACCATTGCCATGTTTGAGGTGACCCCAACAGATGGCCAAGCCAAGCATTTGGAGATGGGGGCACGATCGGACAAGTAGACTATTTTTTATGACAATTGTGGTGCGTGAACAGCGGCTCGAGCCCTCTTGTTTCTGGATGTTTTTGGTGTTCATTGTTGTTCCATTAAACTGCCATGGCCTCGCCTTGCCGTGTGGAAGAATGGTTTCAGATGGTGCCACAGCTGATTTGCCAGGAAGGCCGGCCAAGATTGGGGGCTGTTGGCCTGGCCTGGCACCTGAACATATAGAGGAGGCAATGTTGCCCTCCGGATAGTAGCTACAAATCAAACTTGTTGAGACATCCCACCGCACTTGACTTTTCCAAAACATTATGAAGAAGTTCGGAAGCATTGGAGGCTATATTTGACATGAGAAAAATAAGGACCACCAGGAAAAATGATGACTGAGTTCCTCATATACCGTTGGGCGATCCCTAGGGATTCAATCTACAATCTGTCTTGGATGCATTGACTCAAACCAAAATGTGTAGATCAGGGGTGCGATGAACTCCCTCAAGTCATCGATGATATCCCAAAATTCAAACCTGACACTGGAAATTTGCTTCTGAAAGAACCATCCATTTGCGGATGATTTCCCAATGATTAACCAATGCAAACGGCTCGATTTCCTGAGGAACCTTTGCAGGACACATGGAATTTGTTGGATGCGGTCCATGTACAGCCAGCGCTTTATGATCTGCATTTCCTTTATACTCTACACATGTTTATACAGCAAGCCGAACAGAATTGTTATTTACCAGTGTATATTGTATAGTATAGTTTAATAGAATATGTTTTTTCATTAAATATGTATATGTGTATATATATATACGTGTTTAAAAAGGTTGCCAAAAACTCCCACCCATTGCCACCAGCCATCACTTCAGGGTGGGAAGTGCTGATTGACCGTGCGAAGAGCAGCTTGCTGCACTGCGAATGCCCTTGGGGCGGAGAGTTGCTGAAAATCCGCGTCGACGCCCATGCGCCTTGGCACCGAGCTGTCGGCCAAGAAAACGGTTCCGCGGGGGTTTTCGATACAGTCATGGCCATGACTATTTGTTGGTTGTAACTGACGATATAACTCTGGGATTATACGTTATAAATGGGGTTTGGTTAGTACTTATAATTGGTATTTCGTGCTAATAACTGTACACCTCCCCTATTTTGATTGTTTATAGCACCCATAGAAATGGTAGATTTGAGGACGGTTTCTTATTGCTGTACCGGCAATATATGAATTAGCTAAACATTGACATCGCCAAAATAAAGGTTGCAGTTATGTAGATATTTATGTGTTCCTAATCCTAACCAAAGCTCCTTTAGAGTTAATTATTTGACATTGTCCACCTGGACTTCGTGCCCCTTGGGCCCCCACCAAAGACGCGGGAGATGGCCCCCTAATCCCAGGGATCAATGCGCTAATTGTATTGGACGGTAGGGGGTGAATATGTGTATGGTTACTTCTGGGACTCGGGTAATATATCATGTATATATATATATATATATATATATTATACATATTTATATATATATATACATACCGCATAATGATTGTTCCCAAATTCTGACAGTTTTTGGGATTGTCGGGAAATGAGGTACCCTTGGGGGAAAACCTCTTGATTTCGCATCAGTTCCTGTAGATATAATATGTTATACATTGTACCCTCTTTGGGGTATATATAGACCAATGGGCATCGAAATTGATACATCCGCCACTTTTACCACCCCTGTTTCTGAGTTGCTATCTGCTGTAAGGGGCTGCGGCGAATTGCCACATATCCGACAATCATTGGATTTGTCCTCTTGGTTTTAAATGTTTAGATTCAGTTCATGTGCAACTGGTGATCCAGTTTTTTCATTCAATGGTTTCCCTGTGGATCCTTGATGCATACCGGAAACGACCAGAAATTTGTGACCTCAGCGACCTGTGGTCCATGACTGGGGACGCCTCCCCAAAAATTACACAACAATGAAGGCCTTTTTAATCCTTTTTTATGGATTAACCATTAACCACTGATAAACGCTACCCTCCACAAATCAAACAGCAAAACTCATGAACATTTGCATTTATAAACGATTTTCCGATTAAAACTTCCATTTGCAGATGATTTTCCATGTTCACGTTTTATACTTGAACTTGAACTCCATATTGTGAAAGGTTGATACAACTGAATTATTTCTACACAATCCCTGAGGTGGAGAATGTCCTTGAGAACCCGTCTCACTTGTTGGTTCGCCCGGAAGTGCGAGTGCCCTGGCAAGTGCTGGACAGGGAAGGGGGAAAAACCTGCAGTTGAGGATTTTGACTGCAAACATCTGACGGAATCAGGCTACATATTTTTGCTGAATGTTGCTGAGAAGCATATTAGAACCGATCCATTTTGGGGTTCCATGCTGTCAAACTCTGGGGTTAGATATACTGAGAACATGCTAGTCGATTGCCCTTGCCATCCGTTTTCGATGCAGGTCTGCTGGGTGTTTCCTAGGTCCCTTGTGAAATCCGTTGCCACAGGCGTTGTACGGCAATGGCTCTGTGTCGAAGTTCGAAGATTTGCAGATGTTCACTTGGCCTTGTGGTTTTGTTTCTGTGGCATAGCCCCAGGATGCTCCATGTATGACAAAGATTATTTACATGTATGGGACACTAATGTGATTTTATTAATGGTCATATAACTGGAACATACTGGACTATATAACCCAAATGGAAAATAAATGGGAATCTAATGATATGACCCTCCGGTAGCATAACATAGCTATGGAAAATCACCATGTATAGTTATAGTTATAGTATATAGGTAAATCATCCATGAATGGGCCATGGCCTCCATACTGTAGCTATGTTAAGTAACTACTTGGTGTCCATTTGTGTCATACTCGGTGCGTTCGATGTTTGGTAAACATGTATCACACATGTTGCGCATTTGAGAACAACCAATACAGCAGACATATTCCTTTGGATATGTTTTGTTTGCACTAATTTCGGGTGGAGTGGGGATAAGTTTACCTGTGGATCTACTACGCTAGCAAAAAGTATCCATAAGCTTCCTATCATCATCCAGAAGGTATCAATCCTGGATGAATCCCTGGCATTTTTTGCTGAAGGGATGATATAGTCCAGCCAGGACCACGCAGGACCCAAAAAATGCTAGCTTTATTCCAGGTTCGTGAATCAATTTAGTGTCTCCATTTATGTTTATAGTGTGTATATATATATATACATATACACAGATAGTATCAACATATACAAAGCCATGAAATATATATATATATATTATAGATTCAATTATATTTTTATAATTAAATACAGTAGCAGACGGGGAGATAGAATATGAAAAACTTCTAGGTCACAGATAGAATATGGAAAAAAAGCTAAGGAGCTAAGACCCCAAACAGCAGATAGAATATGCAAACAACATATGCAGATAGAATATGAACATATGATATATGTGCAATGTTGCATGTGCATGCAGTACAGTACTGCACTGCCTGCAGCCAGTACAGTATAACGACCAAAAAAAATAATGCAACACATGCAAAAACCATGAGATTGAATGTCACATCCTTCCAGCCAATAGTTTGCTCCCCGCACAAAATACCAGCAAACAACTTGCATGGGTTTTGTCCTGTTTTCCATGCTGAAAGAGACACATACAGCAGATTATGTTGGCCAAAGTTTTCCTGAGGTCGGTTGGTACGGTAAAACTTGTTTGTTTTCTTTGTGAACTCTGGTGGTGAAAAGTGCAGTTAGAATATGGATAGGTTTGGATGGTTTTATTCCCTCACTCACTTCGCAACCAACACCAGCAGCACCACACAACCGCACAAAATACCAGCAAACAACTTGCGCCATGCAATTTTCACCATGCTTGTTCTTGCATAGTTTCTCTCCTGTTTTCCATGCTGAAAGAGACACATACAGTAGATTGTGTTGGCCAAAGTTTTCAATAAGGTTGGTTGGTACGGTAAAATTTGTTTGTTTTCTTTGTGAATTCTGGTGGTGAAAAGTGCAGTTAGAATATGGATAGGTTTGGATGGTTTTTTTCTCACTCACTTCGCAACCAACACCAGCAGCACCACACAACCGCACAAAATACCAGCAAACAACTTGCGCAATGCAATTTTCACCATGCTTGTTCTTGCATAGTTTCTCTCCTGTTTTCCATGCTGAAAGAGACACATACAGTAGATTGTGTTGGCCAAAGTTTTCAATAAGGTTGGTTGGTATGGTAAAAATTTGTTTGTTTTCTTTGTGAATTCTGGTGGTGAAAAGTGCAGTTAGAATATGGATAGGTTTGGATGTTTTTTTTTCATCGCTCACTTCGCAACCAACAAGCAGTACCACACAACCGCACAAAATACCAGCAAACAACTTGCGCAATGCAAGTTTCACCATGTTTGTTCTTGCATGGGTTCTGTCCTGTTTTCCAACATGCTGAAAGAGACACATACAGCAGATTATGTTGGCCAAAGTTTTCCTGAGGTCGGTTGGTACGGTAAAACTTGTTTGTTTTCTTTGTGAACTCTGGTGGTGAAAAGTGCAGTTGGAATATGGATAGGTTTGGATGGTTTTTTTCCCTCACTCACTTCGCAACCAACACCAGCAGCACCACACAACCGCACAAAATACCAGCAAACAACTTGCGCAATGCAACTTTCACCATGCTTGTTCTTGCATAGTTTCTCTCCTGTTTTCCATGCTGAAAGAGACACATACAGTAGATTGTGTTGGCCAAAGTTTTCAATAAGGTTGGTTGGTATGGTAAAAATTTGTTTGTTTTCTTTGTGAATTCTGGTGGTGAAAAGTGCAGTTAGAATATGGATAGATTTGGATGGTTTTTTTCCCTCACTCACTTCGCAACCAACACCAGCAGCACCACACAACCGCACAAAATACCAGCAAACAACTTGCGCAATGCAATTTTCACCATGTTTGTTCTTGCATGAGTTCTGTTCTGTTTTCCATTATGCTGAAAGAAACACATGCAGTGGATTATGTTGGCCAAAGTTTTCCCGAGGTTGGTTGGTACGGTAAAATTTGTTTGTTTTCTTTGTGAATTCTGGTGGTGAAAAGTGCAGTTAGAATATGGATAGGTTTGGATGGTTTTTTTTCATCGCTCACTTCGCAACCAACAAGCAGTACCACACAACCGCACAAAATACCAGCAAACAACTTGCGCAATGCAAGTTTCACCATGTTTGTTCTTGCATGGGTTCTGTCCTGTTTTCCAACATGCTGAAAGATACACATACAGTATATAGATTGTGTTGGCCAAAGTTTTCCCGAGGTCGGTTGGTACGGTAAAACTTGTTTGTTTTCTTTGTGAACTCTGGTGGTGAAAAGTGCAGTTAGAATATGGATGGGTTTGGATGGTTTTTTTCCCTCACTCACTTCGCAACCAACACCAGCAGCACCACACAACCGCACAAAATACCAGCAAACAACTTGCGCAATGCAACTTTCACCATGTTTGTTCTTGCATAGTTTCTCTCCTGTTTTCCATGCTGAAAGAGACACATACAGTAGATTGTGTTGGCCAAAGTTTTCAATAAGGTTGGTTGGTATGGTAAAAAATTGTTTGTTTTCTTTGTGAATTCTGGTGGTGAAAAGTGCAGTTAGAATATGGATAGATTTGGATGGTTTTTTTTCCCTCACTCACTTCGCAACCAACACCAGCAGCACCACACAACCGCACAAAATACCAGCAAACAACTTGCGCAATGCAATTTTCACCATGCTTGTTCTTGCATGGGTTCTGTTCTGTTTTCCATGCTGAAAGAGACACATACAGTAGATTGTGTTGGCCAAAGTTTTCAATAAGGTTGGTTGGTACGGTAAAATTTGTTTGTTTTCTTTGTGAATTCTGGTGGTGAAAAGTGCAGTTAGAATATGGATAGGTTTGGATGTTTTTTTTCATCGCTCACTTCGTAACCAACAAGCAGCACCACACAACCGCACAAATACCAGCAAACAACTTGCGCAACGCAATTTTCACCATGTTTGTTCTTGCATGATTTCTGTCCTGTTTTCCAACATGCTGAAAGATACACATACAGCAGATTGTGTTGGCCAAAGTTTTCCCGAGGTCGGTTGGTACGGTAAAACTTGCTTGTTTTCTTTGTGAATTCTGGTGGTGAAAAGTGCAGTTAGAATATGGATAGGTTTGGATGGTTTTTTTTCCCTCACTCACTTCGCAACCAACACCAGCAGCACCACACAACCGCACAAAATACCAGCAAACAACTTGCGCAATGCAATTTTCACCATGCTTGAAGTCAAGGACTTCAAAAGCACCCCAATCAATAAAATGTGACTACTGTGTTGTATCTTTTGCAGTACCGTATTCTTACAACTCCTGTGTGGTTTTTCTGCAGTTAGAATACGCCGACACAATATAGAGACACAATAACAAAGTCAATTTCCATTTGTGAGATTACATGTCTTGAAGTATGGTACAGTACAGTATCTGGAAGTAAATGTTGTCTCCAGCAATTGAATCAACCAAATGTGATTATATCACATTCTTGCAACACCTGTGGTAATTTCCTGCAGTTAGAATACAGGTAAACGCATCATTTGGTCTTGCTTCATTGAAGTCCGGAGCATGATCTTTGCGGCGCGACGAACATGATATCGGTTCTTCTGACATCAGTGGCCATATTCTAAGTGCATGTGCCCATATTCTAAGACCAAGGTTTTCGGCTTAGCTCCAAAAACCCTATACCCCGAAGAACGGCTTAGCTCAGCTAAGCAAATCTTAAGGTTTTATATTCTAACTGTTGGTCCGTCATAGTATATAGATACATAGTTATGTGTGTGTGTGAAATTCCTCCCTTCCGCCACAGGGATCCAACATTCGTTGTCAGGTTGATCCACCAGGCGCCGGGCGAGGCTTTCATCGAACAGCTTCACTCCTGGGGGCTGGGATCCTTCTGCACCGTGGCCCCTTTGTGTGTGGTAAAAATGGGTTATACATGGGTTAAATACTGGGGTTATATGGGATAATAACTGGATAATAAATGGGTTCCATAGCTATGAAATGTTATGAATTGGTTTTAAATGGCTTATTAATATGGGACTTCCCTTGATTCGGATGAAAGACAATATATACTCATTCATATTATCATAACTATTTTCTTAATCCATGTGAGGGAATTGGCAAACAAAAAAGAAGAAATAACGAAATTGACGAACATGTACACTGTACACAACCCATATGTGCATATATATACGTACATGTGGAACATAATATACAAATTCACATATAATACCAACCTGCACACACACATAATGATCGATTATATACATATTGATTTTTGCCTGCAATAAAATAAATAAATATATATATAAATATGCATTTGTAGATTATAACATGTATTATATGCATGCAGATGTATCTTCTCTTGTTCATGCCATCCTGCCATTCATCTTTTAGATTGTAGTAGAGCAAACTTTGGCAAAGTGGATTTAACCACGAAACGTGACCGGCAAGCCGAGGCAGCAGCTTTCTAGAAGCCTCGGATGAGACCTGCAGTGAAGAGTGGCTACCGGAACGGAATATGGCGAGTAAACTTGTGATCTGGGATGATGAAAGTGAAGTAAGGATTACTGATGATTACTGATAAGTAAACAAAGCTTAAACATATACAGAAGTAGGATCTGTTTTTCTGGATGTCACTAATACAAGTTTGAAGTTTCTGCTAGCCTCCAGGGAGTAACACCTTTGAAACCTCACATTGAAAGATGATCTTTTGGACTGCCCATAATAAGTGCCACTGGTTGCCTTGGATGGAACCATCAAAACCTATTGGTAAAACGTTAGCAAGAAGGATAGGCAAAACAAACTCACAAATTAAGTCCAATGACTTTCTGCTTCGTTGGTACAACATCTGAACCGCACCTTGGCTAGTCGCTAGTTTGCCTTAGGGAGTCCCAATGGAGCACATAAGAAAGTAGCACCATCCCAAATGAAATCTGATTTTCTTAGTGTTAGATCTGTTCATTTGGCCACTTCCGGAGGGGTTGTGATTAGCTCTGAAAGGTGCTGAGACCGACGGGACCAAGGTTCAGCACTCGAAAGAGCAGCTGGCAGCGGCTTTCGCGCGATTTCCCCGAAGAAGGCACCGCGTTACTCTTGGATGGGACAGTTGGAAGCTCAGGAAAGAAAACATGTAAATGGCTGAGGAACTAACTAATCAGACGAAGATATCTAAGATAGTCAACTAAATCCAGCAAACAAAGTAATTAATGATGATATCTAATAATCGATTACTAGAGTCTCTGAGGAAGACTTAGATGTCAGCGTAGAAAAAAATGATTGGGCGACCATTGTCAGCGTCAGGAAACGACATTCCCACCATGCCAGTTGTGATGACAATGTGTAGACAATACTAATCAGAACCAGGTGTTTGTTCTGATAATGGATCTGATTTGCTCGTGACGGATTGCAAGAACCAGTGACCAGTGGAAAACAGGCAAGGATAAGCCAAATACATCCACAACTAGCAGTCTACAAGATCATTTTTTAATCATCATTGATTATTGGTCAGCAATCGTCGCTGATTATTGGTCCAACATATGGCACCATATGGTACAGTACCTCTATTAAATTCCCATTGATGTACAGTTATGGCCATTAGTTATAACTGGTTTTTTAAAATCATGGGATACATTCTATTTCGGGGTTGTTCGTACCTGGTAAATGCGACCAGGATTTTGGATGATCCCCGCATCCGACGCAGGCGACTCCTCCCTGTGCGTCCAGGGCGACTCCCTGGGGCTGCTCCTCTGCCGCCCCAAGGGAGGCAGTCGTGGCATGGCCGTAACGTTGGTGAGAAACTGGAGAAATCATGGCTAAAAAGTGTGGAAAATCTAGATTCTATTGAGAATTTTGGAGGGTTTTAGTGGGTAATGAATAATTCGAGGATTTGACATAATGGATTGTAATGGCTTATAATTGGGTATATTTCATGGGTTTGAATCCAATTCCTAGTGAGTCAACCGGCTCTGTAGGGAACCATATTCAAAGGTGTGGTGGTGTAAAACGTGGAAGGTCAATATCCTACTTCGTACCATTTTTGAAGGGAACACCTATGTGCCAGTTATTTTTTTGGAGTTCGCCATGCTTTCACCAGGGTTTTGACACATAGCCGTAGTTGGTCATTGTCTATCTGAGAGTCTATCTGGTCATTGTTTTTTTTCAGATAGTTGTTGAGTGCAACATGCGTGATCTCCGTTGATGAGTCAGTGAGAATGTTGTTGTTTTTGTGGCGGGGATGGGGAAAACTCTCAACAGCTGCAGCTAGATAAGACGCCACCAGATGCCCATAGCACCCGGAGTTCTACATTGTTTTTTACCTGTCAGTCATCCAAAATGGCAATGGGAAACCTATTTATGGAAGTATATAGAAATTAGATGAAATTAGCAATTCCCAAGTAGGAACATCATGTACCAACTGGTAAACTCCCGTGCCTGGCGATGCAACTCTTGTACTTGCATACATGTATAGATGATTTCCCCACAAGAAACAATCTAACAATTTGTGTGTTCCATTGATGGCAGATCTTCATGGCCATTTTGCGGCACCAGAGGGTTGGACTGCGCTGACGACGCCCAGGCTACGAGATCAACGGCATTTTTCACGTCACGGAGGACAATGCTTCACAAACCCACGCCCTGGCGAACCAGATGTTTTTTTGTCCAACTTTAGCCAACTGCCACCCAACCATTGGTGTACCCACTTGGGCCACCCATAGCAGTTGAGTGATTCCCAGGGCCTGACAAAAAACCAACGGATATATCCTGGCACCACAAAGGAATAACCTGCCGAATATCCCATGAATTTAATACAAACATAGGAGGCATAAGTAGTCTCACTGAGGTTCATGGTGGATAAACAAACTGTAATTTGATGATGGGCAGAACACTTTTTGAAATTCATGTTGCAATATGTTACATTTTTCCTTCTGGGCTTGATCCAGGAGCAGTTCAAGCAGTGGGACTCAATCTATTTGCGACTTCTCTTCGAATCCGCTTCACGCACCGCAAGGTGGACATATTTCCTTGATGTGCAGTCATATACCGGCACATATAATACAGACATGTAAATTGCCAGTTTGCTTGTCATGACTGCTCAATTCTTGAAAAAAATCCATCATTTTGCTCCGTCACCTTTCGCAGTTGTTAATGATTGATGCGCGGAAAAACGTTGTTTTTGCACATGGATGTTGACATTAATGCCACCCCCCAGCCTGGATTGTAAAAAACAACGCAGCTCAGCTCAATAGACAGATGGTGTTGGCTGGAGGGATTGGCAGGGGATGAGGATCCTATGGGACTGTTGCAGTTGGAATCATTTGGGTGTGAAAATGGGGATTACCATGATTCATGGCAGTTTCAATGGAGGAAAATGAGGCTCTACACAACAAATGTTGGGGTATATGTTGGGACATCAGACAAACCCATTGATTATACATGTTATTACTTGATGAGTACCTCTTTACCATCCATGCAAGTGAGAAGGTTATTCCAAGAATTTCCAACATGTAAGATGTATCTACGTAAGTCCTCAAAAATCCACTGGGCCCGTTCTTTTTCGCCGTGCTGCCAGGTGGTTTGTCAATCGTCCTGGCATCTCTGACCCTGGGGTGTTTACTGTTGGGATTTGGTCAACCATTCCGAAAAGATGGATGTAATTCTGAGACACGGTCATTACCGGTTTGTTTATTGTTCAATGATGTTGTAAGTAAAGCTAAAGCAGGAACACCCTATAGAGTTGATAGCAAGCTTGTTACTAGTTAATTGGCAATACATGACACATGGGGATTTGACCAACAAACATGCCAAAACATAAAACTGTAAAGGTTTCTTGACATAAAAGTTGCAAACAGTTTTCCTTGAACCGGTCGCAGATTCTCCACGTTTCTATCAGCTGAGTTTTTCGAGTTGTCGGCTTCGATGAACTCCATGTTAAGTGCATTTGGGTGCATTTGGGTGCCCCAAGAGTTATCCGGGGCTTCGCTGAAAGATGCAGCCCTAAATTCACAGGTTGATCATGAATCCATCAAAAGATTTCAAAAGCCCACAAAAGATCAAACAATTTAACACCTCACTGTAAAAAAAGTGTTGATTTACCCTTCGTTGTTTTTTCCTATTGCTATAATTCCATTCCCTGTTGATATTGACACCCCATTCTATGATCCCAAACAAGTGATGAATCATCCCATACAACCGCGGTGACTCCGGGGATTAGTTTATTTTTGAACGGGAGAAGGGATGATTTTCCCATCAGATGTTAACACTTTAAAATCTCAGCCTTTGTTGGGTAGTTTCATCTGAAAAAAGCTATACATGTAAAATCACCACAACCAGCAACATATTTTGTTTTTTGTGGACTACCAAAGGTTGACCATGATCAGATGCGCCAAACATCTCTGAGGATTTGCGATCCATCGACCGGAGTTTCTACACCACTCTGAGCGTGCAATCCTGTCGTCGGGGACTTCCCTTGCTGCCCTGCCCATCTGGAGAAGTGGAAGATGAGGTGGTTTGATCTTGACGGGTCGTCTGATGTTGTCGGTTCGCTAGAAAGACATGCGCGGACATGCGCCAGGCTTTTGATGGTGAGGTCTTCTCCTGATTTTGGCAGAGTTTTGGTAGGTTGCATATGTTGTTAAGACCAATGATAATATAGATATATAGCTAATACATCATTAGAGAACAAAGTGGTTATAATTATATAGGTTTAGATAATCTATCTATCTATCTGTCTGTTTGTCTATCTAATCTAATCTAAACTAATCTAATCTAATCTAATCTAATCTAATCTACCTATCTATCTATCTCATTAAAGATATTAGCTAATATACTTATGTCATCATGATCATTGGCACTGTGATTCCACCACAAAGCTTCCACTGATTGATTTGGTTGGGTCGGCACCGCACCAGGGCACCATTAAAAACAGCATGTCCCATGTCACATCCCATTGAAGATGGGATTTCCTAGCGTCCTAGGTTATGGCTATGCTCACTGGAAAAAACATGTTTTTGGTTGGCCAAATGGTCAAAACATAGTTGACTAGAGAGGCTCAATGGCGTTCAATGCCAAGTCTGGATCGTGTGCAATTTTGTCGGCCAACTTCCAACTGATCATGGTGAGCAACCTCTATTTTCATCCATTTTCAAGTTTGGGAACCAGTGGTTGGTGTCTGCTTTTTTTTCAACATCCATATCTTTCCGCTTGACAAAGATGTTTACAGGTAAGGTAAATCATGAAGGGGGAGGAAACATGCGTAATTGTACTTATTTACCCTGTTGAAACATGTTGAAACCATTATTTGGTTGATGGTTGTGAACATTTTTTATTCCATATATTGGGAAAATAACCCCAACTGACTTTAATATATTTCAGATGGGTTCAAACCACCAACCAGTTATGAACAATTGTTGTGCGTTTTTGTACCCATTGTTAATGAGAATCAGCTATTAGCAGCCATGGGTTAAAAAAGGTATCAACCAGCATGAACCATCATGAGGCATAGCAACGATTCACCATCTCACAACCATTAAACCATGTGTTTCGGGAAAAATATGGTTATACAATGGTTATTATTGCGCTAACCATGTTTAACCATGTTTTAACCACCCTACAGCCCGTACTTGGGTGCTGTTCCAGTGATAGTTATAGGGCGTGTGTTCCAACTCATCCAGCTAACTACCATGGTTATATTTACGTATGACTAACCCCAATTACACCCCCAAGTATTGTTGACGGGTGATACGATTATATACAACCATTTTCTGCATTGGATATAAACAGTAACCATTATGTATACAGCTATATATATATATATATGCATTTGTATATATATATATATATCACCATCATATAGCATGTGCAACTGTCTCATTGTTTGCAATTATATTAAGCATGCTTTATCTAGCTAAAGTCTCATCGTGATATCACCACTATATTTATATGTTGCCTAGCTGTTATTGCAACCATGAATTTCTAAAAGCAATAGGTCATATTTTTGGTTCCAAAACCAATTGTTATCCTCAGGGCTATTCCTTAAATATATATATATATAGAGATAGATAGTAAATCACCATTATATCACCATGAAATCAGCATGAAATCCTATTCAATACCATATTTCTTATGGTTTTCCTATGGTTTTCCTATAGTTTTCCTTTGGTTATCCTGTGGTTTTCCCGTGGTTTTCCTATGGTTTTCTCATGTTTTGTCATTCAAAGGCCCTTGAGTTTGCACACCGCAGGTGGTGACCATCGCCGACGGCCAGCCGTTGGGCCTGGATCGCTGGCTGCGCTTTGACGCGGAACGCTACGGCAGTGAGCGGTGACTTCACTGGAATGGTGATTCACCTGGGTTTGTTGAACGCCTTTTGCTTGTCGTAGGCCCAGCCCACCAGCTTAGATGAGGATAATGTTGGTTCCTGATTAGTGTGTGGCCCCCCCCCCTCCCCCCCCCCTCCCCTAAACTATATCTGGACTCTCTTTAAAGTAGAAAAGCAAAAAAAATCTTCCCAAAAGAAAAACATATCCTCGATTAAGTAAGGATTTCAATTGGCTACAATTGAAATCTAATTACTATTGTTTTTTTGCCGATGAAGTTGTGGTATTTGTAGTACTTGTAGTACTTGTAGTACTTGTAGTACTTGTAGTACATGTAGTACTTGTAGTATTTGTAGTACTCGTAGTACTTGTAGTACTTGTAGTACTTGTAGTACTTGTAGTACATGTAGCGCTTGTAGTACTTGTAGTACTTGTAGTACTTGTAGTAATTGTAGTACTTGTAGTACTTGTAGTACTTGTAGTACTTGTAGTACATGTAGTACTTGTAGTACTTGCAGTACTTGTAGTACTTGTAGTACTTGTAGTACTTGTAGTACTTGTAGTACTTGTAGTACTTGTAGTACTTGTAGTACTTGTAGTACTTGTAGTACTTGTAGTACTTGTAGTACTTGTAGTACTTGTAGTACTTGTAGTAATTACTTGTAGTACTTGTAGTACGTGTAGTACTTGTAGTACTTGTAGTACTTGTAGTACTTGTAGTACTTGTGGAAAAGCTGTTCTTTAATAAGGGTTTAATATCCTTTGGGAAAGGCTTGGAGTTTGAATTTGGCAATTTTGGAACAGGCTTGCTTCCCTTCTGGGCTTCCAAGGGCTGCTCTGGCACAGCTTGCTGCAATAGTGAACCCAGCAAACAAACCTACTAAAGTGAAATGGAGCCTCTCCCTTGGAAAATTGTGGAAAAGCTGTTCTTTAATAAGGGTTTAATAAGGGATTGGTTCTTTTGGGAAAGGCTTGGAGTTTGAATTTGGCAATTGCCTTTGGAAAAGGCGTGCTTCCTTCTGGGCTTCCAGGGCTGCTCTGGCACAGCTTGCTGCAATAGTGAACCCAGCAAACAAACCTACTAAAGTGAAATGGAGCCTCTCCTGGTCCAGGGCCTTGGAAAATTGTGGAAAAGCTGTTCTTTAATAAGGGTTTAATAAGGGATTGGCTCCTTCGGGAAAGGCTTGGAGTTTGAATTTGGCAATTTTGGAAAAGGCTTGCTTCCCTTCTGGGCTTCCAGGGGCTGCTCTGGCACAGCTTGCTGCAATAGTGAGCCCAGCAAACAAACCTACTAAAGTGAAATGGAGCCTCTCCTGGTCCAGGGCCTTGGAAAATTGTGGAAAAGCTGTTCTTTAATAAGGGTTTAACAAGGGATTGGCTCCTTTGGGAAAGGCTTGGGGTTTGAATTTGGCAATTGCCTTTGGAAAAGGCTTGCTTCCCTTCTGCTTCCAGGGGCTGCTCTGGCACAGCTTGCTGCAATAGTGAACCCAGCAAACAAACCTACTAAAGTGAAATGGAGCCTCTCCTGGTCCATGGCCTTGGAAGATTGGGGAAAAGCTGTTCTTAAATAAGGGTTTAAGAAGGGATTGGTTCTTTTGGGAAAGGCTTGGAGTTTGAATTTGGCAATTGCCTTTGGAAAAGGCTTGCTTCCCTTCTGGGCTTCCAGGGGCTGCTCTGGCACAGCTTGCTGCAATAGTGAACCCAGCAAACAAACCTACTAAAGTGAAATGAAGCCTCTCCTGGTCCATGGCCTTGGAAAATTGTGGAAAAACTGTTCTTTAATAAGGGTTTAATAAGGGATTGGCTTCTTTGGGAAAGGCTTGGGGTTGGAATGTGGATATTGCCTTTGGAAAAGGCTTGCTTCCTTTCTGGGCTTCCAGGAGCTGCTCTGGCACAGCTTGCTGCAATAGTGAACCCAGCAAACAAACCTACTAAAGTGAAATGGAGCCTCTCCTGGTCCATGGCCTTGGAAAATTGTGGAAAAGCTGTTCTTTAATAAGGGTTTAATAAGGGATTGGCTCCTTTGGGAAAGGCTTGGAATTTGAATTTGGCAATTGCCTTTGGAAAAGGTTTGCTTCTCTTCTGGGCTTCCAGGGGCTGCTCTGGCACAGCTTGCTGCAATAGTGAACCCAGCAAACAAACCTACTAAAGTGAAATGGGGCCTCTCCTGGTCCAGGGCCTTGGAAAATTGTGGAAAAGCTGTTCTTTAATAAGGGTTTAATAAGGGATTGGTTCTTTTGGGAAAGGCTTGGAGTTTGAATTTGGCAATTTTGGAAATGGCTTGCTTCCCTTCTAGGCTTCCAGGGGCTGCTCTGGCACAGCTTGCTGCAATAGTGAACCCAGCAAACAAACCTACTAAAGTGAAATGGAGCCTCTCCTGGTCCAGGACCTTGGAAAATTGTGGAAAAGCTGTTCGTTAATAAGGGTTTAATAAGGGATTGGTTCTTTTGGGAAAGGCTTGGAGTTTGAATTTGGCAATTTTGGAAAAGGCTTGCTTCCCTTCTGGGCTTCCAGGGGCTGCTCTGGCACAGCTTGCTGCAATAGTGAACCCAGCAAACAAACCTACTAAAGTGAAATGGAGCCTCTCCTGGTCCAGGGCCTTGGAAAATTGTGGAAAAGCTGTTCTTTAATAAGGGTTTAATAAGGGATTGGTTCTTTTGGGAAAGGCTTGGAGTTTGAATTTGGCAATTTTGGAAAAGGCTTGCTTCCCTTCTGGGCTTCCAGGGGCTGCTCTGGCACAGCTTGCTGCAATAGTGAACCCAGCAAACAAACCTACTAAAGTGAAATGGAGCCTCTCCTGGTCCGGTGCCTTGGAAAATTGTGGAAAAGCTGTTCTTTAATAAGGGTTTAATAAGGGATAGGTTCTTTTGGGAAAGGCTTGGGGTTTGAATTTGGCAATTTTGGCAAAGGCTTGCTTCCCTTCTCGGCTTCCAGGAGCTGCTCTGGCACAGCTTGCTGCAATAGTGAACCCAGCAAACAAACCTACCTTGACTGAGCTATAGCGTTTTTGAGAGAAAAAAAATGCCTCTCAGCAATTACAGTTTTTTTTGCAAAAAAAGGGCTCTCCCAATTTTGTTTTGCCACAAAAGCGAACCCTCCAAACAATACATGAGTTTCAGAATAATTTGGAAAAAATTTGCCACAATAGCGACCCTAGGTACTAATCAGGACCCAACATTACTCACAGTTGATCATTTCTGGCTGTCCCCCACCTTGTAAAGACACCATAGTTGAAGGTAAGGTGATTTGGCTGATTTTCCCAATGGACAATCCACCATGACTGGGGAATCGATGAATATTTTTTCATTTTTGGGGGACCCCTTCAGCAAATCCAAGTTATTGTAAAGGGTATAACTATCCCAAAATAACCTGGATCTATACAGTAGATTATAGGTGCCATGGTGGCACACATCTTATCATGAATAGGCATATATCATATCATAACATAATCCCTTCCCTCTAATACTAAACCCCCCCAAAGAATAAACACCTCAGGTAGTTTTTATATTATTAGGGTGGTATTTGTTATTGGGAACCCTGATAATAAATTGACACCTTTCCTTCATAAAAAACATATTTTTTCCGATTTCAAAATCGATGCAATTTCTTTTTTAAACGCAATTAAAATATTACCAAAAATTGGATTTCGAAGCGGACCCTATTAATAAATTGAATCCCTTACTATCTTTTTCGATTTCAAAATCAATTAACTTTCTTCACATAACGCAATTAAAATATTGCCAAAAATTGGATTTCGAAGCGGACCTTATTAACAGATTGAAACCCTTAATTAAAAAATAAAAAATAAATCGGTTTCAAATCAATTCGTTATCTCTATATAGCGCAATTAAAATATTGCGAAAAATTAGATTTCGAAACGGACCCTGTTAATAAATTGAAACCCTTTATTTGAAAACCAACTATTTGTTTCGATTTCAATATCCATTAAATTTCTTCATTTAACGCAATAAAAATATTGCCAAAAATTGGATTTTGAAGCGGACCCTATTAATAAATTGAAACCCTTAATTAAAACATACTTCTGTTTTGAATTTCAAACTCAATTAAATTTCTTCAGATAACGCAATAAAAATATATATATATATTGCCAAAAATTGGATTCCGAAGCGGACCCTATCAATAAATTGAAACCCTTAATTTATAAAAAACACGATTTCAAAATCAATTAAACTTCCTTATATAACGCAATTAAAATATTGCGAAAAATGAGATTTCGAAGCGGACCCTGTTAATAAATTGAAACCTTCAATAAAAAAAACAACTATTTGTTTCGATTTCAATATCAATTGAGCTGCGCTATAAACTCTTTATGTATTGGTGAGTAAGGGGACGGTCATAAGGTGGCTTCGCGTAAGCCAAAACTGCAGTGGCGTAAGAGCTGCGCAAGGTTTTTGGCTTTGAATGTTGTGCGTAAGCCTGCGTAAGGCATGCTTGAAAAGCACCTTTTGGCTAAAGAATGAAAGAAACATGAGGGTCAATATGCTTGGTCACGTTGATGACAGTCAAATGGAAGGGAAACCGAGCTCCAGATATTGCAGACTAGGCAAAACCAGTGTGGCCACGGTTCGGTTCGGTTTTACAGGAAGTCGGTTCGGTTCCTAAACGGTTCGGTTCCTATAGAAACCGGTTTTTCCGGTTCCACGGTTCCAATTTGTTCGGGTTGAGAAATGTTCATTGCTGCCACGAAACCAATTTTGAAAAAAGAATGTGTTTTTTCGCGTAAGGAACGCGTAAGGTATGCGTAAGGAACGCGTAAGGCCCACCTGCTTTATCTGAACAGTTGCCCCATGGCCCCGAAACGTCGCCCCATGGCCCGAATGGCCCCGTAAGCCCCGAAAAGCAGGCTCGAAAGCGTCGACCGCAACAGGCAACATTGAAAGCTGACGGTTCAGGCTCGTCCTCAACATCCTCTTCTTCAACATCTTCATCTTCGGATTCGACAAATGATGAATGACGCACTGAAATACTCTGTTGAAAAAAGGCCGCGTAAGGAACGTGTCACGAAAAAAGATGACTTTGTGGTGACTTACTTTCGCGTAAGCCTTGCGTAAGCCCATAGAAAGCCCAGATCCCCGCGTAAGAGAAACCCCCAATAGCGTAAGGATGCGCAAGCATGTGCGTAAGCATGTTCTTACGACCTAAGAATCTATCAAGGTTTCCAGCATGGCTCAATTGAATTTCTTCACATTACGCAATAAAAAGATTGCCAAAAATTGGATTCCAAAGCGGACCCTATCAATAAATTGAAACCCTTATTCACCCCGCTTCGCGTGGGGTGGCCGCCCACACCGCAGGTTTATTTCGGTCCGTGAGAGGGGCTAAGGGTGGTTTTCCCCCGTGGGGGCTCTTCAAGCTAAGAAGTTTCAATAAGAAATCCTTCCAAAACATTGTTTTTGACAGTGTTTTTCCAATGTTTCCAGTCAAACAGACGGTAATTTACACGTTTTTTGCCATAAAGGCAGTAAATCCTTCCAAAACATTGCTTTTGACAGTGTTTTTGTAATGTTTCCAGTCAAGCATACGGTAATTTACACGTTTTTTGCTATAACGTCAGTCCAAAACACTTGTTTTTGCAGTGTTTTCAATGCTCTGGCATCCAAAAACCCTGCAAAATCTTGCTATGTACAATGTTTTTTTCATTTTTGGCCGTTTTTCCATTGCCGGAAAGCTACCAAAATGACCCAAAATTCCATTTCAATACCCTCTTGCGCTCAGACACCCAAAAATCCTCGAAAAATGTCGAAAACACCACCGTATTCTGGTCTCGGTGCGAAACCGTTTTTGGGGTCTGGTCTCGGTGCGAAACCGTTTTTGGGCCCCCCTCCCCCCAGCTAAAGCTGATATAGCGACTGCTATATTAACAAATGTCATTGAGCATTTAGTGTTGCTGTTGCCCCCCAATAAGCACGCCTTCACCGCCAAAGCGGTGTGGGCGGATTTTTTCTTAATAAATCGATTTCAAAATCAATGAAACTTCCTTTTATAACGCAATTAAAATATTGCGAAAAATGAGATTTCGAAGCGGACCCTGTTAATAAATTGAAACCTTCAATTAAAAAAACAACTATTTGTTTCGATTTCAATATCAATTGAATTTCTTCACATTACGCAATAAAAAGATTGCCAAAAATTGGATTCCAAAGCGGACCCTATCAATAAATTGAAACCCTTAATAAAAAAACAAAATTTCACGGACCCTAATAATAACCACCCCGGGCTTAACTAGTTTTTATTATCAGGTGGCGAAACCCACAAATTCTAGCAATTTCTTGCCCATTTTTCTTCTGGCACGTACGTTGTCGACTGCACATGTTCTTCCCCAAAGAAGATCCTTACTTTCAACAATTTCTGGAAATGTCATTATTAATAATGTTGAGCTTTCCAAAAATGGATTAATAATGTTCTTATGGGAATTTGTCATCTACACTTTTCAGGATCTCAAGACCCAATTCATAAGCTTTAAGCTTATGTTCTGGCACGCTTGGCTGGCCTTTCATCAGCAGCGCCATCCCCATCTTTCTTGGCATCTTTGTGGCCCCGCAAAGAGCTCTGCACAACAGGATCTGGGAACACAAATCATCGACGATCCTGTTTTCTTCCGTGCAAAATAATTCCACCGATAGAGTACGATGCCACCCCTGGAGTGCGCTAATTTTCTGGAATGCGAAAATAAAACAGTATGCGTGGCCCCCTTCGACCTTCCCCATGGATCCAACACCAGTTTTTTCCATCATATACCAGAAAATTATCACATTTCACCCTGCTGAGCTTTTTTTTTTTTTTTTTTATTTTTGGTCATTTTTGGCCAAAATGGCCTGGAATGCGATAGTATGTGAAACTACAGACGTCTCACGCGAAACCGCTACCTTGCCCATATTCCAGAAAACGTGATTCCAGGCGATTTTAGCCAAAAAAAACGAAAAACAAACAAAAAAAACGAAAAAAAGAGAAAATCACCGAGTACGAAGATTTTATGGAGTGCGAAGATCTTGCAGAGTGCGTGGATTTTACAGTATGTGTACGTCCCTAGCTGTGGAGTGCGATGCCCTCGCTGGAGTGCGAAGAATTTGTGGAATGCGAAGAATTCCGAGTATGCGTGGCTGGTATAGAGACTACATAGGGAAATGTCGGGGCCAGAACCAAAATTCCAATCCCAAGGCCAGCCCAAACTTCCAGGGGCACACCAGTGGGTTCTATTTTTCCGAGTTCACCTTGGGTGAGGTCCCGGGGAAGAAACTTGCTAATTTTTACTCAGCCAACCTTTAAAAACGTTACCTTTGACAACCCTGTCCTTCTTCAGTAGACAAATGAGGAAACTTCCTTATCAAAGCAGCCGTCAATTCATTCAACGTCCACAGCTGCTTTGGAACAACATAGGGGATAGAAAGCTGTGGAGGGGCATTCAGTGGATTCGCCGTGGGCCAACTGTTCCCTCCAGATTGAGCTGAAATGCCTATCAAAGTAACATACCAAAACCGAGGCCTGGAGTACGATGAAAACATGGTATGCGAAGATTTTCTGAATATGGGAATGTTGCCTCTAGACAAATGGTAGCTTCATGTTTAAATTGTTTTCTAAAGGGGATCAATTAAAAGTCAAATTGGCCAACCTGAAATTTTTCAAAATTAGAGATGGACCCGTGTTTTTTTATTTGGGGGCTTTAGTTTTAATAGGGGGACGGGATTATTCATGATCAACGTTCATGATCTTCTGGCTGGTGGTTTTCTACCTTTTTCATGGTTCCATTCAGTTGGGATTTCATAATCCCAACTGACTTTCATATTTTCCAGAGGGGTTGAAACCACCAACCAGCATCCCAACATAACCTGGTACCATAGATGTTTATCATAATTTAGCCTTACATTATGATAGATATTCTTAAACATTCTAGGTTAATGAACTATTATATTTGACCTAGATGTGTTTGATATTGTGGAGTTTTTAGGAAAAAGCTCATGGGAACACATGGAAAATTATTAAGAAACAACATGGAAAAGAATGGTAAACACATGAGAAGGTCATGCGGAAATCATCCGTACTTTGAGGCTTTAATATGGCACTTTGCAATCACAAGGTGTATTACTTGGGATTAAAAACTATTTTATCGAATGTTTTTTTTTGATCCGTTCTCAATTTTCGAATGGTGTGAGATGATGGAACAAGAGTATCATGTAAGTGCAATGACTACTGGCTTGATTAGTGGATGTCCTATTTGGAAGCTAACCTACAAATGGGGATTTTCCATTGCCATGTTTGATTTGCAAAGGTTACCAAGAAACCAAACAGAACGGGCTGGTGGGTTTCAACCCATTATAAGTATTTGTTTACCAAGATACCAAGAATAGAGAATACATTTAGACTCTAGGGCTAGACATTTAGCTACAAGCAACCGGGGTAATAAATGATATTTGGCTTGTGGTTTCAAGTATGTTTTGCTTTCAACCAAATGATATGACTGGCATGAGGATCCCCAATGACGAGCATATTTTTGGTGTTCAAACCACTGACCAAATAACAGCAGCAGTTCAGAACATATAAGAATTGTATATGTTTGTTCAAGTGGTGCGATTGGGATAATAATTAGAAACGATGGTGACCATTTTTCCTCATTGATGATTGATACATGGTAGATCACTGAGATAGTTTTGAATGGTGGATATATTCAAACCCGTGGACAATGATAAGTCATAATTTTGCCACCATTATTTGTCAGTGTCCTGAATTGACAATGTATGTAGGTACCTGGGATGCTTTAAAGGTGAAACTGAAATGTGATTAAGATTGCTGATTCAACTACTGATAAGTGACCAATTTTCTTCATCGGTACAATTGTAAGGGCATTCTTCTTGAGAAATGGTTAGAACCGACTTATTATTCCTCACATCTTTGTGTGGGGTTCTAACCTTTTATTGTGAAGTTCCTTCGATTGGGCCTCCACAATGACGGAACATTGTGTTAAAACTTGGTTTCTGTTTGTCTTCATTTATTATTGGGGTCAGTGGCTATTTCTTTTGTGAAAAAGGTAATGATTAGATTTTATCTATAAATACATCGGCATTTAATGTTAGTTTAACTGGCATATCATGGGATATCATTGCTACTTTAACCTTTCAGACCTATTTCTGACCCTTGTTTTCGAGGTTTTGCACCCCACCGCCGCTTCTGGTCTTTCTCAGGTTCTACCTCTCGCAGTACATCAAACTTTTCTTGGCAAATCTGAGTCTTGGCGATTCGGCGATGCTACCTCTTGCCTCTCGTAAACTTCCCAGAGGAATCTTAGGATTCCAATATGCTTTCCAAATAATGATCATATACTCACTGTACTCACTCAGAGATTGAGTGAGACCTCATCGGCTAAGTGAAGACCATTCCCAGCTGTTTCATATTGAGGCCTCAATGGCCGTAAGCCTAATATGATTACTATGGTGATGTGACCTGCAGAACGCTGTGGCAATCTGCAAGCCAGCGGCTCTGATTGAAATGCACATACATGTGTACATTTATATATATATATATATACATACTGTATATGTGCGTGTGTGTCTGTGCGTGTGTGTCTGTGCGTGTGTGTGTGTACTATTATGTGTGTATATATATATAATTATTGGCGCACCGATGTATAAGTATTTGAACAGGTTGTTTCACGTGTGTATACCTGTAAATGTATTTAGAATTTGTATATATATTTTTTGGGGGTTACATCCATTCAACGTCGTAATTTACCCAAACTCACCCAATTGGATGTTTCATGATCCAAGTCAATGGCTTTTCGTGGACACCTCCGATTTAGGTACCTCAGGTATCCTCAGGTTATGATACTTTTCTGCCCACTTGAATGGAACTGGATTATTTACCCTCTGGTTATTTGACATAGCCATGGTATAGATGGCCCATTTATAGATGGTTTACCTATTAAAAATGGTGATTTTCCATGGCTATGTTAAATAACCAGATGGTACCAACTTGACCCTGGTGTAGTTCCCAAAGGTAAATAAAGGTAAATATGCCAAAGACATGGAGCGTATGGGCTGATCAACTGCCTGCATGACCCCACGGTCTTGGCAAAGCCTTTGCGAAACACCTCCGCTGCAAACTTAGATTCTTCAAAAATCACGTGAGAAAAGCGACACCGTTGCTGAGACCCGGGTTTCAGGTGAACATTTAGGGTAAATTCTCCCAAGATGCCATGGCTTACCATGATTTTTCGTATGAAAAGTGCCATCACTTGGGGTATACGAACGATTTTCAGTTCCATGTGCTGAGGAATGTCCACAGCAACTTTCCTACTTACAACTCCTTGGATGGAAACCAACTCGTCTCCTTTCAGCAACTCGCTACGGCAAGTGGTTTGGCTCTGTACCTTGTGATGTTCTTTTTCATAGCCGAAAAAATATTGATTGTTCGTTATGCCTTCATTTGTCCATTTCATTCATTCATTCATTCATTCAGTACATACATATATATATATATATATGTATATATATATACACATTTTTATGATGTATTCATTGTGTTGTTCTTTATTTGTTTCTATCTATTTACATTCTTTGTTGATCTTGGTGTGTTTCAAAATTACAGGCTGATCAACGGAGCGGCTCGTGGCCGAGGTGCGTGGTGCGGCGCGATGAATGGAACGCGGTGAAGGATGCCTTCCACAAAGCCTTCCTGATACCTGGCAGGGAGACCGTTGGAAACGGTGCAATCCCAATGGGTTTGTTGTGCACTGCGGAGCTTTGGGCCAACGAAACGATGGACAAATCCTGCTTGAACACCAAGAATTGTGGATTTCATGGGATTTATAGCTGAAGCTGACGCGCACAACTTGCTTCACCGGGGTTTATGGAGAATACAACTATAGTATACTATTATAGTATACTGTAGTAGCTATTATAGTAATGTTTTTTAAAACCAACTGACACAACTGTGGGGCACCATCACCTTGTAGTGTTTGATGTTTAAATGTGTTTATTCCTGTATGTTAGATAGCAATTTTGATTTTAACCGCCGAAACGGTGAAACTTAACCAGCATACATTGGGATCTAAGCACCAAACATCATCAAACATTGGGTAGTACAATGTGTTGATGATTATTTTCATGTTTGATGCTTAAATCATGTTAAATCACGTTGTGTCACTGGCTGAAAGCCTTCTTGTTGGTTTCTTTTGCTGCTTAAAACTTGTTCCATGTCAAGGGCCTGGAGGTTCCACCAGGCTTATGTGATGTCATTTGGGTGTCCAAGGAGAGGGTCGATCCCATCTCACTCATCCCATTTGGACTGTTAGTTCAACCCCCTGTTGTTGTATGGCACATGTTCCGTGGATGTCGACCTTGTGGTTTCGGGAAGATCTGTACTGGAGACCCGGTGGAAAACCCTTGTTATATAAGGTTTCCGGCGGATTTTTCCCTTAAATATCTTAAGCCAAGGTGGTAAACCAAATGAGTTAAGCATCTGCAATTTCACCAAAAATGGGTTTGTACTATTTTTGAATGTTCATGATTGGCTTTGCCAAATTGCTGGGGTTCTCCCCCCCTAGGCTATAGGAAATCCGATGCTTGTTACTCCAAATGTCATGTTTTCTGCAGGGTTTCCCCCCAAAAGACAAACCTGGGCTTGTTTAAGGGAAAGGATGGCTAAGCTGATTTGTTTTTTTTCCCAATGTGAAATTCACCTCAGTTGGGAAATTTATAGTTCTTTCTTGTTCTTCTTCAACGATACTCCTTGAACAAATCTAAAGAAAACCAACCTGGGAAACTCACCCCCACAGTTACGGCCATTTATCAATTATAACTGGTATTAACTGGTTATAAATGGAGTTTTCAGAATTGCAGGATGCAGAAGAAGGCCTACCGCCGCGCCAACGGCGGCAACTCGGCGCCGACTCTCTCGGAGAATGTGCAGCCGCGGCCGCTGCGCCAGCGTGGCGAGCGCCGCGAGGGCGGCACGGCCTCGTTGCGGTGCCGCGGCGGCCGGGGGAAGGGATGGGGCAAGGATGGCCCAGGGAGGTGCCGCTTGCATGGGAACACCTAGGACCATTCGTCGGAATTCGCCATGAACATGTGCAACTGATCTGAAAACCAGTGGAGACGTATTTAGACAAGCCCTTATAAATGGGTACGTTTCATGCTATATTTATAGCTCACTTGCTAGCCACTCAACTCATTTTCCATGGCCCATCTAAGGACCTGTTCAACATACATGGATTTCACTTCACCAGCAAGGATTGGGGATTTCTTTGTCAAATCGGGGAATTTTGCCAAGTTTGCTCTCAAGTGGTCTCTCAAAACTGGAAAGAAATTGATGGATTTAACAATCAAGGATGGGGATAAAACGCACTCCCTCCCCCATTTAATCCCCCTCCAAAAAAATGTTACCTATTCCATGAATTTTGGGAGCCCATATGTCTGGCATTGAATATTAAGTGGATGATATGAAGATAGTTAAGTGGAAAATCATACTTCGAAATTCCAAGTGAAACAGTGACTGATAAACGGTGATTCTGAAACCCCTGGCAATCAAACCTAGCAATGAGAAATCTCCATGTCCAATGGGAAATATTGTGGAGATAGTGACTACTTTCCATTGGCAGGTTCGACAGTGATTGAGATGGTAAAAGATCAAGCAACAAACGGACATGGTAGGTACTTCAAGAAGGTTATTCGCACCAACAAAGGTGTGCAAGAAATATGGAGGGTCATCCCACCGCTCGTCATTTTTTTAACTAACCCTGGTGATCATAAGTCCCAGTTCAGTGGATCTTGATATGACTGGGCAAAAAGAAATGTGGTTATAAGAGTTACGAGCCACTTACTAAGTCCCATAGGATCCATGTATGGTATATATTATATATGCTAACATTTGGGGTATATTGATGGTAAATGTTACCATATATATAGCATACATGGATCCTATGGGAGTGGGATGAGCCAACATGATCTCCAAAATTATTTTGCCGAGTTTTTATCCCCCAAACTCCAAAACTAGTGGGTCAACCACCAGCCACTGAAGGTTGCCAGAGGAACCGATGCTTGGCTACCGAGCCAGATTCCAGGAGTGTCCATGGCCAACCCCAACCTTGGATGGGTAGAAACTAATCCTTGAATGTTTGCTATAAGTGGAAATTAACCACAACCAGCAAAATGATATGTTTTGTGTGGGCTACCAAAGATTGCCCATGGTAGGCTATTCTGCGACTATACTACCTCATTTCCTGGGGCTTACTGTGGGATGACACTTCGTGTTTTTACTCTTTTTTTAATTCAACTCAATTTTCCCGAGGGTACTTGGGGTAACTTCACAGATTGGAAGATTCGTTGGCTTATGGGGTTTTGAAGGGCACAACATGTCAAAGCCAGTTGGCTCTTGAAATGGGGTTTCTGGACAAGAAGGATCAGGCTAGGTACAGTAAAAAAGAACAAGTTTTGCAAGGTATCTGAGTTTGGTCATTATATTGCCCAAATGCTTCATGTATGGTATATTTACCAACATTTGTCCTAAAAATCACCCAAATGTAGGTAAATGTACCATACATGGATCATATGGGTTGGATTTTATCCCCATGAAACCCGAACCAGATCCCCATGTTACCTCCAATGTATCCAATGGATCACATCCTGCTGACCCTCCATTCCTGCTGACCCCCATGAGTGGTTATTATCTCCCCGTTATTCACCCATTATCCCCATCATCGGAAAATGTCGAGTGGCCAATGACCCTGGGATTTCTCAGGGTTTATTTCCACTTGTTGCATACGTTTATCCCTATAATCCCCCATAGAATCATCAAAATCCCATTGAAAGCCCGCAGTTATGATCATCTATTAGTTATAACTGGTTATAATTGGGATTAACTGGTTTAAACAGGTTAGTATACATTCTATAAATGGGGTTTTGTTAGTATTTATAACTGGTATAGCTCGGGCCAGTTTACTGTTGAAATCCCATGAGATTTCCATGGCTTCCTTGGTCCGCCCAGGACTCAACACAAGGTGGTCGTGCGCAGATCCTCAGCCTTAATATAACTACAGTATATATATATAACTATAGAATATAATATACCTATGTATATGCACATCAATATATATATATATAAATATGTACATTAATATATATATATGTACATTAATATATATATATATATATATTATATATATATTATATTTATATATTTATTTACATTAATATCGATATTATAACATATTACAACTATGTATGCTTATATCATATTGTTACAGAAATATGCCCACACATTTGTTTCCCGACATGGCACCCGTGCACGGAGGAACCTTCTTGGACGTGGACGATCCCAGTTCGCCTGAAGCTTTTGGCGTCACCGAGCGCTCCAGTGTCTCGCTGTGTTTCTTGGGGTTCTTAATGGATGTTAAACATTGACAAGGGAAGATAATGGAAGATAAACATTGATTATTGTTTTTTAATGGATGTTAATGATGTTACTGAAGATAGAATGGGAGCTTTACTGCCAAATATATTTGCCGATGATAGTCCATGAATCACTACCCATCCGGCATAGTAGAACCGTAGATGTTAATGAAGATAGACTGGGACAACCATGAAAAATGTTAAACGTCCCATGAGTTTGTCTGAAATAGTTTTGTTTTTAACCAGTAATCATTAGATAGTCATGGAGATGCAATCCTGACATAGTCAGGTGAATAGTAAAACCATAACCAACCTGATATGATTTATACACTGAGTCTGTGTGAAAAAGGGGCAGTGATTATATACACCATTCAATATTGAGTACTTGGTCAACTTGTTCAGCAACTCTATGACATGGGTCAACATCTTCGCCACTAAAACCGGTGCATGGTCAGCAATTTCCCAATCAAAACTGCCATTTGGCACTGGGTGGAGTCAAAATCGTGGCTTCCCGAAAGACATATTTGGGCAAAACAATCAGCATGTTGGGTACGTGTCAAATTGACTGGATTTCACAGAGTGGACCAATGGTTTCAGATCTTCAAAGTGACAAATCCGTTGGCTCCATGAGTTTCCAGGGAGGAACTTTTCTTGGCAGCTACGCCATGCTGATTTTGGTCAGAACCAAAGCTTGCAGATGATAAACAGGGCTTTGGCAAACCCAAAAAGATGACAAAGGTATATAGTTATCACCTTTTTTTTTGTGGCAGGTGTTTACCTGCATGTTTTTTTAATGTTTCTTCGGGGTTGCTATATATATATATATTATTGTCCACACATGCTGCCTGCCCATTCTATGGGGCCCAGCCCATCACCCTTCAGTTGTCGCAAGCAAACCAGCGGGTGGTTCATGGATTCCATGGTGATGCCTAGGTCGAAGATCGAAAACAACAAGCATTCTGCAAGTCAGGGCCTCTGGTGCTTAACACCCTGGTCCCACAGTCGTTTGGGGCGGACAGGCGAGGCATGGCGAGGCAGATGGAGATAGACCCGAAATGATCCATTTAGTTCAATGATTTACCTATTGGGAACAGTGATTTTCCGTAGCTATGTTAGATTTCCTGCGGGTTTCCTGTGCAAAATAAATATCTAAGAATAGATTGGATGATTCGTGAAACTAGTACATGAACTTGGAAGTGGGATATATCATGATACATCCCAAAGTCGGGATTGGAACCCGCTTGCCAACCAGTACTGTATATGGAGGAAATTACTATAGTTTATGCAAATTGTAAATGAACTTATAACTAGGGGCCCCAGGCTGTAGAAACTAAGGAATTAGATGTTCGGATTTGAACATGGACTTAGCCAAGAAATTGACACAGCCAAGCCTAGCCAACGCTCCGAACGATGCCCGATGCCGACCTTCCGCAGCAGACCTTCCGCGACTCGACCAGGCAAACGTGGGCAGTTCGCCTTGCTCTGTGGTCACTTGAGCAAGTGGCACCATAAACTTTCTCAAATTTGGAGAGGGACCTCAAAATCGGCATAAGCCGGGTGTGTTTCTTAATATTTGTAAGGGGAAAATATTCGGCTTTAGGGTGCCCAATTTTCAAGGAACTCCTTATTGAGTTGGTTTTCCTTAGTCATGAAGAAATCGACCATGTACTCGAACTTGGAACCGCTGCGTGCCGCTGGTTGAAGCATAGGACTTGGAAGGTCCTGCGGACCAAGGCTCCCTGGGCTGGTGCATGCTGGTGCTATGATAGTTCGATTGCCCATTTCGTTTGATGATCACTTCCTAAACATATATAGTAAGTTTTCCATAGCAAACTGTAAATTGCCAGATTGCAATTTGAAGGGAAAACATTGCATGATACAATATGCATCTTTGTGGACAGTTTCAAAAGCAACTTTTGTCCGGTAGCTAATTTGTACAACTAAGCAGCTCAGAAATCAGGCTAATTCCAATCACAGGATATTTTTAAACACAATGTTACAGATGCCATGGCCATTTGATGCAGGTGAGTATCCCGAACAACCCTTCATTGCTCGAATCTGTTGTTTGACTATATAATTATTCTAAGCGGGTTTCTACTCGCTGGATCACCGAAGCAATTTGAGCTCCGTAGAACACGGTGCAGCCCAGTCCAGGGATGGACAGAATTGACGGCCTGTTCAATTTTAATTTTTTCGTAGGTGTTGTTTTCGTAGTCTTTTAATCTGGTTGGTGGTTTGGAACATTTTTCCCATATATTGGGAATTTCATCATCCCAACTGACGAACTCATATTTTTCAGAGGGGTAGGTCAACCACCAACCAGTAATTCTTGTGTCCAGTTGGTTTTTTTCGGGCACGCAAAAACCACATACCGCTGTCAGAAGCCACGTGGTACACTTTGGAGAGGTCTTGACATTCTGAATCAGAGACTGGAATACGAACCCTTGCCTTTTTAATAGCCAAGGTAGCAGCATATAATCCGCCATATGTACCCATTTAGTTCCTAAAAATTGATTCAATGATTGCAATGATAAGGCAATTCTGCTGCCTGATGGGTTTGGTGGAGTGGATGGAATGTTTCAGTATGTTTCACTCATGAAACACTTCAGACCACACATGGTGGGTGCGCAAGCAGATGCAGACAACGCGATGGGATCAGATTCACGCTGCTTGCACTGGTCATTGTGCCCCTTCCGCAAACATGACAATGGAGAATCCATTATTGATAGAATTTGTGGTGACGCATATGAAATGGAAATACCGGGATTTGCTGTGACAAGTGCATTGTGGGCCTCGTGGCACGGCGTTTTCAGGTGGTGGTAATACAAGCGATGAAACTGGTCTGTCCTGCTATGAAACATGAGGAAATTGGTCAGACTGATCTAATATCAAAGCATAATTAAAGCTGTGTCTTTTCCCAGCGTTAAAAATCGTGGTAGCCTACAATCAGTTTCTGTGGTTTTACTCATCGCTGCAGGGGCAGACCCCATTTCAGAAACCTTCCCCGTTCCTCCCTTCCGCATAGCACAGTGTACAGGTGAACGCTTCAGTTTTGTAAAGCTCTGAAGCTGCACATTGCTGCCACGTGTACACTGCACAGTCATTCCGTCCTATCTCGATCTCAGCAGATGTCCTCCACCGGTTGGTTGATTTAAAAACAGTTCCCATGTTACAAACGAGGAGGCAGGTTGATGTACATATATGTACTGGTTGGTGGTTTGGAACATTTTTTGTTTTTCCATATATTTGGAATACGAATCCCAACTGACTAATATTTTTCAGAGGGGTTGAAACCACCAACCGTTGATTGAAACAGTGTTTCCTACCGGTCACCACCTACATGTATTTCTGGCAACGACATCACTGGTATCAAGCTCTGAAGTTTCAGCAGAAAAGCGGCGTCACCGAGTTTAGGCCCGGGGTTTGGCCTTTTGAGATTCAACATTATTCCACATGGTTTTGTTGAAGAAATAGGGAATTTACAAATCATCGGGCATCTATAGGATATGTTCTTATTGGAGCCTCTTAAATAATCCCACTAAGAATGGGGAATCGATTGAGGGAATGTGTTCTCTAGCTTGGTCCCTTGAGCGAGTCCAAATCCACCCCATGGGATGGAGACACCTGAATGATCGCGATTTTTTGGAGCTGGTCATGGCTGTTGAATTCAGATAGATTTCAGTTTTTCCGTATGTTTTCAAATATATGTTTAAAATTGTTTACAGCTCTATTTGACCAGTATTTTTTTTACAGAATCTATTGCGTCATAAGATTTGTTCATTTATATAATATAATTATATAGAAGTGGCGTATGTTTCTATATTCAGATGCTTGCACACACACACGTATAATACATATATACATATATTAAACTATTATATTATAATATGTTTTCTTAAGTATGGTTTTATATGTTAAATTGTTTTATTATGTTACATTTTTATATATTAAATGAAATATTATACATGCACGGCTTGTGATTTCGCTTGACCCCATCTGACTGGGGCATATTTTTGGGGGAAGGTTGACGCCCGAGGCCGAATTGCCAGGGTTTCTGCTTCAAGGGCGTGGACACAGGAGGGGATCCGGGAGATCTGCGAGACCTGCCCATCCTAAAAGGAAGAAACACGGGAAAAATAGCATCATACAGTTATACATATTGGAGAGGGTGATAGAGAGAGAGGGAGAGAGAGTCATACATAGATACTTCTTTCTTGTTGGTGGAACTCAGTTGAACCTACCATTTTTGTCAATATCTAGAGTGGGGATATGATGGGGATAGATAGAACCATGCTATCCCAATTGGTTTGGAGTTTCCTAAAATAGGGCTACCACCAAATGATCCGTTTTGTGGTCGGATTTTCCATGAAATACCCCAACCATTTGTTGGGGCCCCAATTTATGGAAACTCCATGAAACATCCATATACAGTAGCTCGAAGATTGCGGACAGTCGAATGGCACAGCAATTGCAGTGCCGATTGAACTCGGTCTGAGCTATTGACTACTGTACTGGCCGGGCCAAATCACATGTCTTCCGGATTGGCCTATTTTCAGTGAAACCTTGTGTCAGGGAAGAGCAGCTCTGAACATGCGCTCTGCTCATCCTGACATACACTCCACTGCATGGACGGTGAATGCCAAGCGAAACTTTGTTAACATGGGAAAAGAAAACACAAGCAAACTGATCACAGCACTCCTTGAGAAAACTCAAAGCAGCACGAACAACACTGACAATATAAGCCAAAGTGGGTTTCTGGTACCGGGTGCAGAGGGGTGCAGTATCCATGCTCCCAGTCGTGGCATTCCAGAAAGGAAATCCAAAATGCGGCTGATGTGCAAGAACCAAACCAATCTCCTCATAACAGATAGGATAACAAACCAAATCATCATCATTCTCATCAGCGCAAGAAATGAGCCAATGCAGCATGTGAGTGAGAAATGAAATAGTGAAAAGTTTCCCTGGAGGTTTATGATAACTAAGTAGTACAGTCTCAATCTCATCTGTATAGAAATCTTGGAGAGCAGGCTGTGTATCTGGAACTATCTGTACATCCCCCATGGGCAAAACTGTGGTAGGTTTAGGCAATGCAGCAACCTTACCAAAAAAAAATGCTCAGCTGTTTCAGTCGTTGAGAGACCTCATAATGATAGCGCCGTGCACTCATCCAAAGCTCTTGAAAGTCAGCAGGGCGGTTGAGATTGTAATGACCAACAAGCGCCTCAACCCTGCCATTCCAAAGATGAACCCAGTCTTCAAAAGGATTTTCCAACAGCGATTCATCAAGGTGGCTGGGGATCCAACGCAAATGAAGCTGGAGGGATCCAAGCTGCTCCAATTGATCGGCAATTCCATTCCAGAGGTCTTGGTCAGACCAATCAGCAGCTACCCCATGCTGCCGCAGGTAGTCAATGCCATCATGAACAAACTTGGCATCCATCCAAAGCGTCATGTCAGTCTGAAAGCGAGCTTGCCATGTGAGGGCACTCAACGCTGCCATCAATTCAGCCCGAGCACTAGTTTGAACCAAACCATGAACATGTCCCGTTGCAATGATAGATTCAGTGGTTGCATTGATGCATCCCCAAGCAGCTAAATCATATGGTGTCTTCGTTTTGGTTGCAGTGCCATCCACAAAAACATGCTGGTGTCCTCTAGAGGGATGTGTCAAAAAAGTCTGGGTGTCATCTGGCAAGTTCACCAAAGCAGTTTTCCACAAACAAGCACTGGGAAAGCGAGATGGCAGTAGGTGCATCAACAGCGCCTTGGTGTCATAGACCGTGTGAGACTGCCATTCTCGCACTTCAGCACGTTGGTCTGCATACCTGGGGCACTGAAGCCAGTGAAGTGGAGAGTCAGCTACATTGCAGCTGATACACATACTTTCCTTGGTGAGGTCATACTTGCTGTGTTGTGCCGCACTCATGAATGCGCCACTCTGGAGGGAGCTGATCAAGGCCCGGTCCAGTGCTGTAGCCTCTTTGCCAACCCCAAGCGCCAAGTGCGGATCAATGCCGGCAAGGTCAGCCATGGTAGCCCGATGCCGTACTTGTTGGCAAACATGTTGGAGCCAGGCATCAAAAAGAAGCTCATCCCAGGTTGCAGTGGCCGTATGAAGCAAGTGGTGCGAAATGCCATCATGATCAATCAAATAAGGGGGATTAACAACCCACCCCAATTGAGTAGTGATCACAAGCAACTGAGAAAAAGGTCCACTAAAAAGATTCCCAACAAAATGGTGCATGAAAAACTTCCAATTTGAAAGCAATCTAGGTTCCTTCAGCGCAAGTCTACGTAGGGCTCGTATGGTCATCTGAGCAGTTGGAGAACATGACAGTGCCAAACGTAGAAGAGGATTTGCGCCAGCTCGCTTCAATTTCAGCGCCATCACTGCTTTACCACGAAGCTTGTCGAGGTGTGCATCTCCAAAACAACTGCCGTAAATGCCATGCATGGCCGAAGACCAAAAGACAATGGGAAGCATGGCAAACTTTTGCCGGGGTGGTGCACAGGAGGTTTGGAGCGCATGCCAGCGTGTCTCCAAGGAGAGGAACTTCTTTGCATGTCTGCCAGTGTATTGCTTACGCGAAAAGGAAAGCACTCCGCCCAGTTCGTCAGCTGAGGTGACAATCTTGAAGGGCAGGGTGTTCAGTTGATTCCTTTGAGCCGCAGCTAAGGCCCAGCAATAAGACTTGGCATGATCCAAAACCAAATTCCACAGTCTGAAAAATTCCACAAGGCAGGCAAGTCCACGAGCCAACAAAGCTGGGGCAGTGGTGACAAGTGCCAAGTTATCCACGAAACTCATTGCCCGCACGGCCGGAGAAAAGGCCTTCATATAAATGTGCCACGCAAAATTCAACTGAATCATCGCATAGACCGAGAGAGCGTCGCCCTCTGGGAGCCTGCAGCTTGAAGTTGTTGGGGCACTGAGCCAACCTCGAATCTCGAAGGCCCTTGTGCAATTGCCAAGGAAACCCTCCCATGGAACCAGCAGAGTGTCAGGTACTCCAATATGTCGGGCTAGGGCAAAGCTATGCTGGCGTGGCACATTATTAAATGCACGGACCAAATCTGTGGAAAGTCCAGTGAGATCAGCTCCAGTTAGGAGGCAGCACTCGATGTCGGACTGCAGCACCATCCATAACTGACTGGGTTCGCAGCCAGGAATGAACCCAAAGGCATTCTCGTCCATGAATGGAGCCAGGATGCGGATGAGCTGTCTGGATCTAATCGATGCCCAAGTGCGATAGATCACTGAGAAGATAACAATTGGCCTGAACCGGTCAACTGTTTTGGCACCCAGATCCTTGGCTATGACACTGACTACCCCATACAAGATGGCGGTGGGCCAGGGTTGTTCACCTCGTTCAATCTGTTGGAGCAACTGCAGCAAGCGCTCAACCCAAGGATCAGGCATTGCCAACAAATCATGATGAGAAATCCCATCAACTCCGCGGGCAGCTGTAGGTTTGTACTTACGCAGTGCACGTCTCCACATGCTGACAGTGATGTCTGGCAGAGAGAAAGTAAGTTGGGGAACATAGGCAACGAAAAAATCCATGATGCGTTGCCAGTCAGCAGTAGGAACTTCCGTCATTGCGTTCCAAATTGGAGTCCAGTAGTCAAGGAGTTCTTGATGAAGTTCCGGAACGTCAGAGATGACTTGATGTTGAACCAAAACATCACCAATGTCACAGGTCTCATCCACTGCAATGACCACCTCGTTCACAACGCCAACTTGAAGAGGAGTTTCGTCAACATACCAATGAGAAATGCCACCAACATGAATAGGCTGGTCAACATGAACTTGAGCCCCATCAGTAGCAAGCACCCCATAATGATGAGTGCGCTGCAAAGAGTCCAGTCGATCTCGTGGCTGTTTGCGGAGATCTTGGAAAACTCCAGATAGCCCATGTTCGTATTTAGCTTTGAGAAGAGCTCCTCGTTGACGCAAATGCCAACTTTCAAAACGTTCATATGCATGTTTGAACTGGTCAAAAAGTTGGGTAGCAACCTCTTCATGGGGCGGAGCACAGGGAAGAATGCGAATGCCTTCAGAGTTGAGCCCAAACGTATGCATCCACCAAACTGCAAAGCCACCTGTGAATCCAGTGGCCTGTTTGATGGCCGACCAGAGTTCAAGTCGATAGGTGATGGCCGAAGCAGTCTGTTTGGCCCCACGGATAGCATGGAGGTAGGACTGCAGACGACGTAGTTGCTTGAACCAGCAGTGTGTTTCGCGGCCAAGTAAGTTGCTCCGCATCTCAACCTCGCCAGGTCGACTGGCTCGCAGAGTAAGCGTCTCACATCGACGCTTGACAGGCTTAGTGGCCTGAAGTCTGCCCATCTGATTCTGCGTCAGCTTGCCCCCAGGTTGTGAAGGAACAAAGCCATGGAAGCACTGTTCATAAGATGCTGCAAGTTGAGCCCATTGTGAATCCACATCTCCAGAGCAAGTCCACGTAGGAGGAGTGGCAGCATCTTTCCATGTAGGGTCCAAGGCGGCATATGGAATTGCAGAGGGCCGAGGCCACGCACGTAGCACTTCAGTCTTAGAGGGAATGCTGAGCCCGACTGAAACTGTGGCATGCTCCATGAAGTGGTCACGAACAGCCACAGCCTTGCAAAGTGCTTGTGCTTGTGGAGTGAGCCAAACAAGATCGCGCTCAGTCTTGCCTTTGCAAGTGAAAGCTTTGGGTTGATTCCACATCTGAGAAGCATAGTCCTGTGCAGAGCACCAGCCATGCTGTCGCCACAAATCAAAGACAGGGAGTTGTGTGGAATCAACATTCATGTCACCGCCGATCAGGCGTGGGCCCTTAGCACCAAGAACCACTTCACGTGTGAAGATTGCCAAGAGTTCTTGGGTGAGGGCCTTGGATTGGGGCCAAGAAGGGACCGCAGGGAACCCATACACCACCACATTCAGAAGTGAAAGGCTACCGATACAATGGCGAGTAGCAAGAACACGCCCACAATCTCGTTCACCTTCGTACGGCAGCATCACTTCAGCGGAGGAGACATCAGACAGTGTGGCAACTCCGCTCCAGGTCCCTGCCCAAGTAGAGGTGGTTCTAACAGCCACCGGGCAGCCCAAATGGATGCGAAGATTGCGATTCTGAGTCATGGCAAGATGGCGCAAACGAGCCGCGCATGACTTCTGAGTTTGTTTCGAGAGCTGGGTCTCGGAGAAATTGATAATGGAATTCCCAGTATTAAGGGCTTGGATCTCCTTGTTGCGCAGCCCAGTGGGGTTTGTAAAACCCACCCAGAAGAGGTCATCTGGGGCTGGTACATCAGCAGGTCCAGGATGTAGTGCCTCACCCCATCGTGGAGCACCAGGAACTGTGACCAAAGTGGTCAGGCCTCTCAGCGAGATTGTGGAACAGGAAGATGTAGTAGGCCAACTGTCCGATTGAGGCCGCACTGTCATCATCATCATTGACATAGCGTAAAGAAAGTGAGGAACCAAAATAGCCAGGTTGTTCCAGGCACCTTCCATTGGCTGAAGGTAGAAGGCCCTGAACGCCGTAGTCATTCTTGACGAGGCTTCTTGGCAGTCATGAGGGTCTCAAAGCGAGACATCTGGTTGTCCAAAGAAGCGGACAAGTCAGTCACGATCTCCTGTTTCATATTGTTGAAACTGGTCTGCATGGCTTGATGTAGGTTGGCTGCTGAAGAGTGGACTTCCGTACGAACGGTGACAAGATCTTCTTGTTGCTGTGCCAAACGTTGGTGTACTTGTTGAAGTTGGTCATCCTGGGCTGCCATGCGAGCGCCTGCTTCCTTCATCCAATGGCCAACTCGATGATTGTGTGCTTGAAGCTCAGTAAGCCCCACCTCCATCTTTTGCATGCGATGTTCCAGCTCTGATGTCACGGTAGTTGATGCTGCCGTATTTTTGTTGATCTTCTCCTGGAACTTCGCCGTCAGATCATCTCGAAGTTGTGTGGCAATGGCATCATACCTTTTGGACTGAGCCGCGTTGGCAGTGGGAGTCTTGAAGTTAGACTAGGGGTCTTGTTGAAGCCATGGATCGGTGGTGGAAGAGCTGACTGCTGGTTTCTGTGTTCGAAGATGTTGTTGAGCTCGTTTTGGGGCAATGATGGCTGGAGGGAGGTCATGCTGCTGCTTGTCCTTCACCAAGTTGATGAGAACATCTTGGCCAAAAGCTTGCATCACCGGCTGGGGTGGGTCAGCCGAAGTTCCAACCTCCCATGCGGCACCATCAGCAGAGCCACGGGAAGGTTGAAGTGGTTTGGCATCCCAGGCCCATTCCAACAAAAGCTTAGCCAGTTGAGCACGTTGAAGTCCATGTGGCAATGGATGCAGCCTGAAGATCTTGGTGACAGTGACACGTACAAAGGAGTCACCTGGTCGAATTTGGTTGTAAACAGTCTCTTCGTGAGCAGCCTTCACTCGGATGCCGTAGCGCTGCTTCATCCGCACGAGGCCAAGGCCTTGAGAGACCATTTTGAGCTTGTGAGTCGCGGTGTCAAGTGTTGCACCTGGAATCCAAACCACGGCATATTCAGGGTCAGTTGACTTTGTGGTGGCACAGCGTGGCCCAAAGTAGATCCCATTGGCAACGGAGGGCAAGATCTCCTCAACAGCCGTGGAGGCCACACGCAGAAACGCCTGAAAGAGCACAGCTTGGTCGGCAGGCAAGGTGCGCCCTTCCATGGATTGGAATTTGCGTGCCCAGATTTCATGGATCACCTGCTCAATGTTGGCCTCCACTGCTGAATGAAAGAAGAGACATTTGTTGTCACATCGTGGGTTGGGACAGAGACGAAGCTTAGGAACCAATGTGATCAAGTGCTTGATGGGTGAAGCGATGAACTGCTCCCATGCGATGGTGACTTCATCTCGAAAGACTTGGATCTTCAGAATGGTCGTAGTAGTCACCTCCAGGTCCGCATGCATGTCATCAATGGTATGACGGCTAACTGTGACATCCCCCAGTTGTAGAAGGCTGCCTTGGATCAACATGGGATCTTGTGTCGGCAGGTACGTGGCTGGGAATCGTAGTGCGCAAAGATCAGCCATTCCCTTGAGCTCAGTTGTGACCTCTTGTGTGATCAACAGGGCAAGAGCATCCGCACTCAGGCTCTTGTTCTCCTTGATGTAGGGCAATGCCTGTGTGAGGTCACAAATGGCAATCCCACGCATGTCAGCAGTGACCTGCGCAAGCTGGATTTGGGGAACTGTTTCATCCTCTGCATCGACAAAATGCCCTTCAAGAAGTGAAAGGGCAGCAGGATCAAGTTGAAGAGGGGTAGCCTTTGGCAAGGGCTTCTTGGATTGTTTCTTCTTGGAGGAAATCTGTGCTCCATGCTTGTCCGCAGCCTTTTGAGAGATGCATGCTTGCAGCTCATCTTTGGTGACGTACTGGAAGTTCTTGCCAGGTCGGCTTGCAAGGGCTTTCAGTGCATTCCAAGGGTTGGCCTGTTGCAGGGCACTCTGGATATTCGTTGCCCCAAGCTTGTGGATGGCAGAAGCAGCTCGTTCAGAGACTGCAGTCCATGGTACTCCCTTGGTGACTAGCAATGCAGCCAGTTGGCCTTCAACAGTTTGCGGTCCAAGTCCAATGACCGAAGGAGGAGTTGTGAAGGACATAGAAGAGGCAAGGAGATGTTCATGAAGTCCAAGAATCATCTCATCACTAGGGAGTCCACAAAGTCCAAGACGGAAGCAAACATGGAAGAGTGCCACAGTGCCGCACGTATATAGTTGGTGAGCGCTGGCGAAGCAGGTGGCTGATGTGAAAGTCCATGGTGTCGCCACCAAAAAGTCCAGTGAGCTTCATTGCCAGCTGGTGCGCTTCATCACGTATGTGATCAAGAAGTCCATCATGATATGACCACACATAGTGCCGATGATGGCGAGTGGCCCAAATCAAAGCCCAATGACCACGTGCCGCAAAGGTGCATGCAACTTGAGAAGCATGAACTTGAGGAGACAGAAGTCCAAGTCCAAGTCCCCTCAAGTCAGAAAAGTCCAAGTCGCCAAGGAGAAATGCAGCAAGGCATGGATGCACCAAATGCACTGACATGGTAGGTTGGGAAGTCACTAATTGTTGCAGCGTCTCCCAGACATGGCCATCATGGAGCCCTAAGGTAGAGGCAGAAAGTCCATTGCCTCGAAGGGTAGACCCAATCCGAGGAGGCCAGTTGGCAGGATCAATGGCCATGAGGCATAATGGCCGCCAGACACGATAGTCTGCTCCATAGACTCGTCCCTCCAAATCCACCAGGAACCGCACGTGGTGCAGGTTCAGTTGGGCAAGTAGCTCAAAGAGAAAGTGTCCTGCAGGAACTTGATAGACAGTATGATCCTGTTGGTGTCGCAGAGAGACCATGATCTGAGATGATGGTGGCAATCGTGAGGCTACTCCAGGTTCAACCACAAAGGTATAGGTGGCGCCATCCAGTCGTTCATGAAGTGCAAGTCGATGTTGCTCATCATGCAAGGCAGCAGCTTCATTCCAGCCCAAGATGATCCGATTTGCCTGTAGCAAATGAGCAGCCGTAGATGCAAAGGAGCTCACAATGAGAAGAGGAGGTCCATCAGTTGTGCTGATCTGCAAATGCTGTTTGGGATCTGGTTGATGTTGGTGAAAAAGCTGACAACTATGCCGAAGAAGTTCCACACAGTAATGTCGAAGCCATTCTTCCGGGGAAGGGAACATCTGGCCATGGGCTGCTGCAGCATTGCATTTCAGATGGCCGTAAATCCATACCAGTTGGAGAGGCGAAGCAGCAAGTCCCAGAAGAGCTAGTGATGCTCGAACTGGGTGCGGGAAGACCATGGTGGGCGGAATGCCAAGCAGTAGTGCTGCTTCTTTGGGATGGAGATATCGCGGGTTGTTGTGCTTGACAGAGATCACAAAATAGCCTTTCAACCCTTTTGTGAGCAAGGTGGACTTCGAAAATGATGAAGTACGGCAGCGACAAGGACAGGAGGTGAGGGCATTGGAGTATGAATGCAACAGGGTGTTGGCAATGCCATCCATTTCAAGCAGCCTCTTGTCGGCCCCCATGGCAGGGTCCAGATAAGCTTCAAGTTCATGAGCATAGAGCTGGAGTTCCTGCTCATCTTCATCCGACCAAAGGCCCCAGTGTGCGAACAAGCTGCCAACGTTCTCGTACTCCATGCTGGAGGGCCATGCAGAAAGTCCATGGAGATTCCAAGCATGAGGAAGAAAGAGAACCCACCAGCGAAAACGTCGACAAGGCCAGCGATCACTGAGGTTCAAGTTGAGCTGGAGAGCATCCCAGTTCATGATCGTGGCAAGCTGTTGGATGGTTTGCTGGATGTCTGCATTCTCTCTGGCTGGAACAACGCGTTCAAGGATGGCAGATTGGGGCTGGATCATGTATATGATACGCATGCCAGCTTGAAACACCTGATACCTACCATCAATGGAACCCATTAGGTGCCCTTGTGTGGAATAGGGCTGGCATGGAAATCCAAGCAGGACTGTTCCTACTACTTCCGGGCAAGCTTGGTGAATCAGCTTGG